CCTAACAGTTTCACAGATGCAAATGTGAAGGCAGAAAGTTTGAATAACTAGGTAGAATTTTAAGTTCAAGCTTTTGGACTACAGTGACAACCAAAGCCAGCCACTATTCTGCCAGTAATAATTTTTACCATGCATGATATTATACCTTTAATAAACTCAATTTAGCGTCTTTCATGTTTTAGGGCATTGTGGATGGATTGAATTTCAGGATTACAAAGCACCTGAAAATTTTGATATGTCTTTTCCTTGGCCTATGTTTTACATGATAATTTCTACAAGTAGAGAAATATTTTTACACATACCACTTAAAGCAGTTCCTCACCCAAGCTCACATAATTGTAACCAGTATAATATTTTCTATTGCTTCTGCTACTTTATACACCATGGCCACATTCCTTCTTTAGGATAAAATGCTATTGTTTTTCTCATTATTATCCCAGGCAGGCCCTAATCTCTACAACTTCTAGCCTCACCATTCTGTGTGATTATTGGTGTATGCTGTTTTCCTTTCCAGTTTTTGACTCATTCTACTAGCTCATACTTGTTTTGATTTTCATCCTTTACCATTTTCTTTAGTCCTTATGTAAAGAAGCAACTTCATCAAGGAAAACAGATATACTAGAAAATAAAAAAAAACTAGATATAATAGAAAAACTGTCTCCCATAATCTGACCACATTGCTGCAACTACTGGTAACATTTGGAGCAGGATTTTCACCATTTACATACATTTTCTTTGATTTTCAACTGTATATTAAGAGCGTATTTGTTTGTAAACACACACCTATTTACCTAATCATTACTTCTTTAAAATTTATTATTTATTTATTTTTATTTTATGAATGTTTTGCCTGTAAGTTTGTGCACCGTATGAATGCAGTGTGCATGGAGGCCAGAAGAGGGCATCAGATCCCTTAGAATTGTAATTATTGATGGTTGTGAACCCCCATGTGGGTTCTTTGAGTTGAACTGGATCCTCTGAACAGCTGCCAGTGCTCTTAACCGCTTATTCATCTCTCCAGGCTACACATAATCATTCTTTTTTATATATTTTATTTTTAAATTTAAATTTAAATTAGAAACAAGGTTGCTTCACATGCCAATTCCAGGTCCCTCTCCCTTTCCCTCCCCTCCTCCTGCGCCCTCCCACCAACCCCCCCAAATATCCCCTCATTTCCCCAGGGAGGGTGAGGCCCTTCTTGGGGGTGTCCATAGTCTGTCATTTCATCCAGGGCAGGGCCTAGACCCTCCCCCAAGAGTTCAGAGTGAGAGTGCATCTCTCATTGTTGGATGGGAGTCCAAAGTCCATTTGTATACCTGGGATAAATTCTGATCTACTACTCAAGGCTCAATAGATTACCTAGGCCTCCTCACTGACACCCACATTCAGGGGGTCTTGATCAACACATAATCATTCTTAATGTTTGTTTCCCAATCCCTTCTTGAATATCTATGTTGTTTCCCTTAGGGTTTCCCCTCTGAGCAGTAACTGTCCAAAGAATCATTACTGTTTGGGTAATTTAGAGGAAACACCAGGGAGATAGGTTACAGAAATAATTTTTCAATAATTTTCTCAATATAACTTACAGTATTATGGAGGAAGCCCAGTGAAGAACAGGGAACTTGATAAAGATGAAATGGGAAAAATGAGATGTTGAATGAGTTTGGAATTTGAATCTGGCTTATGACACTAGCTATGGAATCTTAGATGAATTGTTTAACCTCCTTAAATTTCCATTTTCTCATCTGTAAAACAGATGTGCTGATTTTTATTTGATGAAATTATTAGGAGCATAAGCAATATTGGATAGCAAGAATGTAGCATACCAAAGACCCAGGAAACACTGCAGAAGAAGAAACAAAGGATTGAAAAGGCAGGGGAGATGTGCAGCAGAAAGATGTCTTTAGGACATGTCACAGCCATTGCACTGAAGCTGTGGCTACATTCATGAGTCCTGTACAAGACTGAGCCCATTAACCTTTCATCATGAATGAAAGATGGGTCTACAAGGTCCCGTCAGTCCACAAGGGACTATTGGCTGTTAAAAGTTGTCGGGGTAGAGGTGTTATTTTCTTTAGTGAGGTAAGTTACTGGTGAATCACCCTTGCTTCAGTAAATAAACTCTTACCCATGCATGGGTAAATTTCTAATTCAGTCAGTGGGTCACACAAAGGAAGATGGGAAAGTAAAAAGTGATTTGCTGAGAGGAAGGGTTTCAGCAGGAGGAGGGATAGCAAATCGGAGAAGGGAGGTGAACGAGACTCAAATTCATTATATAAATGTACGAACTGCCAAACAATAAAAAACAAATTTACAAAAATAATTGCTGCAGAAAAACTTAAATACGTTAAATACTAAAAGAAAGTATAGTATTAGGTGATTAAGAAGTATCTCTATTCAATATGACCAATAGCTTTTCCTTAACACTGTCAGCACTAAGGACATATGGCTTAAAAAATGCCACCACCACAAATTCAAAAAAGACCGAGAAAGATCGTTAGTTCAGTCTGGTATCATAGTTGCAACCAGAATTCTGTGTACTAGCTTCTAAAGATAATGATATGGTTTGAAGCCATCATGTGGGTCCCATGACACATTTCAGATACAGGATAAGAGAAGGGACACAAAGCCCTTGAAGTGGCTTTGAGGAATTTAGTGAATCAATTGAATACCACATGTGGATGTGCATTCTGGTAGTTATGAGACAAGTCTCACTCTGTCTAAGCAACAACTGCAAAACTTCTATGATGTTCACATCTGCCAATACACATTTAACAAGGAGGTGAAATTAATTTTGAGATTCCTACATTCACATGGCTTCCATTCTTTATAAACATTCACCTTGTTCTCCAACTCCAATGGAGTAGCTCAATGAAAGACTATTTCACAAGACAAGTTCATATTGGGGTGGAGTAGAAGCAGATAGAGCAGGGTGTTGACAATCGTAAGTGAGGGGACTTGAACAAAGTCTGCAGATCATGAATTCTAGGCAGATTCACAAATAAGAGGGTACATGCTCTGTAAATACCAGCTGTTGCCATAAACCAAAGGCCAATATTTGCACGAATCCTGTGGCAAATTCTATTGACTAAGCACTGACCTTTCCAGCCAGATTCTCATACTTGAATGCACTTTAAGCCACACTGTCTTAAAAAGGAAGAATTGTCTTATACATATATAAAAATTTGCCAAAGTACAAATATTTTCTATCTCCCAACCCTAAATCAATTCCCAAATTCTTCTTTTGGAATCTGGAATGCATATTTACACAGAAAAAGATGTCTTGAGGAAAGTACATTTAATACATGGTATACCAGAAACATTGTATCATAGCAATAAGGAATATGATACCTTAAAAGCAGGGATACAGCAAAAGACAACAAATATTTCTTGGTCCTGTCTACTCTTTCTGCCAGCTGCAGTTAACAAAAAGGGAAATTCTATTTTCTCTCAGTAGCAGTTTGATTAAAAAAAAAGAAAGATCCTCTATTTCCTTTCTTTGGTAGGTATGTGTATGTAGCCTACTTTTTCCTTTCAGGTCTTCTGTAATTTGTCGACCAAAGGACCTTATTGATTGATTGAGGAGATTGGACAGACAGTGGGGAAGGGATAAGAATTTGCATTCCTTAATGTATCTATATTTTAATAGAAAATTCATATTTTAATGGACAATTAGTTGACTTAATTCCCTTCTCCTCCTCCTTCTTCAATAGAATCTGATGCTTCAGGATATATATATATATATATATATATATATATATATATATATAGTCACAGAGAAACACACACATACAGACAGAGAGAAAGAGAGCAGAGAAACAAGACCTAGTTTAGGGACACAATCTCACATCCACATCCATTCACACTAAGGCATGAGTGACCAGGAAGAGATAATATTTGGGCTCACCTGACTGCTATGGTACTATTTGCACAAATCACACTTTATTTTAGATGGGTTATTTAGGAAGGTATGCTGATAGAAGCTAACCATGTGACAGCTGCTTTGGAAAGCAATTGCTTCATTTTGTAAACAGTATGCTTTGTGACTGTTTGCTATAATGTTTCTTACATGTTTTGTTGTCTGTCATCTCTAATAACTGAACTTTAAAGGCTAGGGGGTCAATCTTCCCATTGTTGGTAAATAGTGAGGGGACATAGAAGCGAAAATTTATAGTTGTGTTTATGCACACTTGCACCTTTTACAAAATCCATTCAGTGATCATTGATTAATAACAAGGGTATGAACAGGACAGAAGCAAAAAATCATAGCTGTTTAATTCAATGACCACTATAAGGTAACCTATCACAAGTTGCCCTAGGTTTTGTGAAAGACTTTGACATTGTTCCCTTTGAATTTTAAAATTCAGGGGTGCAGTCAAAAGAAGGACTCGTGAATATTGGCCATCTGAGAAAACCAGAGTGGAAAGCAGAACACATATTCATAAAATCTGAGTCAGGTACTGCCTTCTAAGGGATCTGTGCCATCAAGTGATTCAAACTCTTTTTCAGCAGAGTTTCTGAAGGTGAGTGTATACTAGCAATCTAATCCGTTCAGAAACCTGCAAAAGGGCAGTCCCCAGAGGGGTTCTGAGCTTTCCAAAGAAAAACTGTATACCGAGAAAGACCTTCTACAGTGCAGTCATAAGCAGAGTTCTTTGTGCAAGAAGGGAGAACACCCCGAGGCACAGAGGTACAGAATAGGTAGAGCAGATCGAGGGAACGAGAATTTCTTCTGCACATATCTGTGAGGGGAACCCAGGCTCACTGTTGGGGGCATATGGAGAAGTAGAATTTTTAAGGGGCCATGAGCTGTGTGGGCTTCATCCTCCACCCCTGAGTACACCCCACATTCAGGCAACAGTTGGTCGTGTGGGACCAGCCCGGGCTCTGGGTGGGGAGGGGGAGTCTCGCGATTGGTGAGGGGGGGTGGAGGGGGGAGGGTGATGGGGGGAGGCCATGACGTAGGGTGGGTGGACGGAAGTGGGGCAGGGTTGAGGGTTATTTAAAGAAGGTGGGGGGCGAGCGAAGGGGTTGGAAGCTAGTATTCCCTACCCCTGCTCTATCCAGCTCTTTCCAGTGCAGCCACTGCTGCCGCCCAGGAGCCTGCCTCCCTTCTCCCCTTCCTCATCCCCTCTCATCTTTCCCGCTCCAACGCCATGGAGCCGGACACGGCCACAGAGGCAGCCACCGTGGCAGCCTCGGATGCCAGAGCCACAATCGTGGTCATAGAGGATGAGCAGCCCGGGCCGTCCACCTTTAAGGAGGAGGGAGCCGCTGCCGCGGCCACCGAAGCCACCTTGGCCACTGAGAAGGGCGAGAAGAAGAAGGAGGTAAATAGGAAAGGGGTGTGTGCGCGCGCTCTGTGTGTGCTGGTCACATCCTGTGCCTGGCCCCTCATAGGGGCCCAAACCCTGACCTTTTGGCGCCGACAGGTACAGGGATCACTGCAGAGATGGGGGCAGCAGGGCGGCAGAACCATCTAGTATTCTCTCCCCTCCCCCTTTCCTGCCGGTCGCCTGCTGGGCGGGGGCGGGGCAGGCTGAGGGCGCGGCTGGGTGGTGGGGTGTCCCGGTCCCGAGCCCCAAGTCTCTCCTAGCCCCGGGCCTCTCCACCTTCCCGGAACTGGGGGAACGGTATGGGGGATGGGGTTGTGCAGGAAAAAGCCTCCGCCTCTCCCTTTCCTTGCTTGTTCTCCTACCCCCCTCTTCCCATCGGCCTCTGCCTAGGAAATCTGGGCCCTTCAGTCCTACCATCCGTGAAGGGGGTTTGACTGGGGCTTAATTTTGTAATTTAAATTTCAAGGTGCTGGTGGTAGGGGGAGCAGGACTGGGAAAGGGGAAGAATGGTTGGAAGATAATGTTTGCTTTGATTGGCAGTGTCTGCCTTTGGGATTACAGAAATAAAAAAAAAATAATCCTCCTTGTTCCTTTGATCCCCACCTCATGGTGAGGAGGGGGTCTCCTGTCAAGAAAACAATCTCTCAGCGGTTTACCTTACAATCCTCACACCGAGGAACCATGCTTGCTGTCTTAGGAAAATGTCCAATCTTTGCACCCTCACCCTCTCATGCTCCGCCCCTGATGTTATAGTATTTTGCTCCAGACCACCCAGATGACCCCCCCCCCCCCACATCTGGACTCTGGCCTTCCAGCCTTTCACTCCCCTTGCCTACCGGGGCACCATTCACTCCTGGACAAAAGCAATATTTTTTTTGTAAATGTTGTATAGTCCTAGCCTGCAGGATGAAGTACTACTGATACATGAGAAGGAGAAACTGTCACACCTAATCCAGACAAATCCAGGAAGTAGGTATTATCTCACATGAATATGGAAGTAAAACTGTATGTTTTGAAAACTGATGTTAACGGATAGGATAGGGTATAAGAAGTTTTCATGTCTAATAAAATTGAGGAACAGATCGTTTACAGGTGGATGCTTTTTCCATTTATGACACACATGATGGTTAAAAAATGGTGGGTAATTGAAATTACGCTTTAGAGATCTCAAGTGGGTTTGTATGAATCATTATACAATGCTATATGACTAAATGGACAACTTTTGGAGAAAATTAACACCTTTTACCTTGAATTAGAAAAGTGATGCTAAATCCAGCAGTTACTCAAATCACATAGTTTACTGTTACAAAGTTGACTAAACAGAAGACAACTGTAGTGCTAAGTGAAAACCCTGGAAAACACTGGATATAAGATATAATACTTGGATCAGTAAGACAGCATTGGTGATTACAGCTGGGCCAAATACCAAGTATCAATATGAACTGGTTGAGAAATTCAGAAATGTGTCTAGTGCCTTTTACTCCCTGGACTGGGCAAATATAAGTGCTAAATTCTTCCTTCCCTCCTCCTCCTTCCTTTTTGGAAAGGTAGTCAATTTTTAATTTTGAAATTGTATAAATTTTTGGATTTCCATTGTGAAAAGACTGAGGATCAATAAAAATATATTTAATAAATATGCCTTGTATTGCTCTATGTTCTTGAACTCTATACACTGCTCTGGTGGGACCTCATTTGTCCACTCAGGATAGAAGCTGCATATTCTGGGTCTCCAAAGTTTCCTATTTTGGTCAATATATATTTTTTAAATTTTCAATTGTCCTTAAAAGCTTAGTTTGGGATGCGATAGGAGAAAGGGTTAAGAACACTTGATACACAATCTTGAGGACTAGAATTGGGGTTCCACCAACCAGGTAGCATACTAGCCTTCACACAACCGAAGACCTCATTTTGAGGGTGACAGATCTAGGAGGACTGATTGCTGGGGCTTGGTGGCTATAAGCCTAGTGGAAAAAAGGTAGTCCTTGGTTGAGGGAGAGATATTGCCTTGAAGGAATAAGTAGAAAGCAATAGAGGAGGAACCTTGGTACTCTTTTCTGTTCCCCACGCTCGATGCATAGAACTTTTACACTCACATGTGCATACACCCAAACAAATGTATAGAAACACACATATATAAACCCTTTAAAGTGCTAAGTATATTTTGAACTACCTTGAACATGTAAGAAGTACATATTTATTCTTTCCTCATAGTCATTGGTTAGTATACTTTGACAATGATACAAATCCAGTTGACATTAAGTAGATTGCTTCCCCTCAACTAAATAACCATTTCTCAGAATTTTTTTTAGTAATAATAGCTTCTAATTATTTTTTAAAATTATTTCTGCTTCTGATAATTTTTGTCTCCTCAAGAGTAGGGTATTTACTTTCACTTTTTAATGACCTCATCTACTTTCATCAGAAAGAATTTATCTCCCATACAGTGCATAGGTATAACAAAGGCATATGATCATTTACATCATCTGTAAAATACAAAAATAATGGTGATGCTCAACCCCCATGGAAAATGATTTCAGTTAAGGAGTTCTGCCATTTCTTCCTGGTGTCCTGGATATACCTTGTTTTAGTAGTCTTTACTATGTCATTTGGTATTGTTTCCATTCCCTTGGGTGTGCAAAGCTGAACTATCAAATGAGATAGAATTGGACAGAGCTATTTATTAATGAACTGATTGTGACAGCTCACATGGTGCATTTTTTCTTATCTTATGGTTCTTGAAAAATTAAAAAAATGTTGTGGACAGTAGTGTCAATGAAGTGATTACCCATATCTCTTAATAGTATTTATTGTTCAAGATGAGGGATTCAGTTAATGTGTGATTAGATTTTTAAGCACATAATTAATGAATAAAATGTTTTTCTGAGATGTTATCTTCTGAAAATGAAGTTTGTTTCCCACATATGTAAATATTACTTCATCATATATATTTGATGAAGTAATTGTTATTGTTTTAAAACTGGAAAACTTCATCTCATTAGCCTTTTAAGATGAAAGTTTGTATTTTTAAAAATGATTTATTTATTCATCTATTTTATGTATATTTTAATACCTAAGATTTTGTTGCTCTGAAAATGAGACTTGTAGTATATGTGACTTTTTTGGTTGTTTTTGTTTTTTTGAAACAGGGTCTCTCTACATAACTCTGGCTGTCCTGGAACTCATTCTGTAGAGAAGGCTGGCCTTGAAATCATAGAGATCCACCTGCCTCTGCCTCCTCAGTGCTGGGACTAAAGGCGTATGCCATGACTCCTGGCATATGTGACATAATGAAAGCATGATCTTCAGTTTCCATCCCAACCCATACATAATTATATTAACGACATCTCATATAGTTTATCGCTATACATGAGATTCTGTAAATCAACACAGTTGTTATGTGATCAGGGCTCCAAATAGGACTCCAATCAAGATCACGTTCCATAATCTTTCTTTGAACTTCCTCAAAATAAAACTTTAAGCAAATGTTGGAAGACACTCATGAATTATTGGACACATTTTGTTTTCTTGTTTAATGTCACATTCTGGTGCTGAATTATTATGGAAGACTTCAAAGACAGGTTGACAAATCTGTAATAAAACTGACCTCATTTCTTTTGTTTTCACAAAAAAAGTTTTGTGGTTTAATTTCTGCAAAGTGTGTGTTCAAATTCAGATATTTTTGGTATTGATCTTAATGAATGGATTCTTTTTTGTTATTTTATCTCTTGATTTGTCCCAGAGAAGGGTATTTATTCTGTTTTTACATAAGACACTGACCTTGTATTGACAGGTTATTGCTAATTGATGTTAGTGTTCACTAAATTACAGCTTTAAAAATATCAACAGTTAATAGTGAATAGCTCTGATGAATCACTTGTGTAAAATGTTTTGTAACACGAATAAAATAGTTTTCTTTCTAGAGGAAATAAAGTGACCAGTTTGAAGCCGTAATATTGGATTATTTTAAGTGTATGAGCTCATGTCACGTTGTATAAAAATGTACATGCTTTAATTAGTCTAGGACAACAAATTTCAAAAGTGTTGTTTCAGGAACAGAAGCCAGAGTCTTTTATTCTGAAAGTCTGGCTGGTTTCCAGTACATAAAGAAGTGTTTGGGAGGGTTATTATTTACATTTCTTGAATTCTTTGGTTTGTGGCCGAGCATTAGCCTGCTCGGGATTTCTAAGCCTGCTATTTTATGGTTACACATTTGTTCGGCTTCAATTAAAAAATAGACAAAAAGGCTTAGCGTTTTATTTTGGTTTCTATTCTAATTAATGCCATTTCTGTGATATTTCAGGTTTTTTATGGGATCTCAGGTGCACAGGACTGGATTAATCATAAACCCTGCTTCATAACTTGCTCTCATCATTGTTCCATGCATGTCCCTCAGTGATTTATTTATCAAGTTATTTAATTACTTTTGGCTTTCCTTAAGGGAAAACATTGACCAGGTTAAAGACCTTGCTTTGCAATTGGCTGATGTTTATTTCCTTTGAATTCTAGAAAAGCACTTCTCCATTGCAATTAAAACTTGCTGCTAACGCTTCCAAATCTGAAAAGGAAATGGACCCAGAGTATGAAGAGAAAATGGTAAATATACCCTTGGTAAGGTAGTGACTACTGTGATTCTCTTTGTTTGTTTGTTTGTTGACATGTCTGGTTATATAATTCCAGCCAGAAATTCTTGAACTTGTGACTCTTTAGCTTTATTGTCCCGATTTCTATGATTATTGGTTTCACTTTCCATGCCTTATAGTTAATTTTTATAGAGATATGGAAGATGAAAAAGATTTTTCTGTTCATGACACATGACCAGATTTCATAGTACAAATGTAATTTAATATATTAAAGTGTCACAAGTGTGTGTATGTCAGTGCTGGGAACATGGATGTGTTATACCCATCTATCTGGGGGCTAGGGCTCTGAACTCAGGGTATTATATTGTTGTGACAAGCAATTTAACCACTGAGCCAACAATTACTTTTTATTGAGTAAATGAATCTCATTTTCAAAGGAGAAAACTAAGAATCATGGAGACTATGTGGAATAGTTGAGAAGAGAAGCCACATCACACTTTTGCTTGCTCAGTGGTCTTTAACCAATACTAAGATATTCTGTACTCAGTGATGAAGGTATCAGTGGCAGTATTTGTATGGCTTTGTGTATGTCATGATGCCAGATCAGCATTTCTCCTTCTGAATTTGTATATAAAGGAATGCTATACACTGAGGAAATATGTAGTATATTCAGGCTTATTTACCCAGTGCATGAAAGTATTACATATTTAAGTAGTGAAATCTTTGTTAAGCACCATATATTGCGTTATGCTTTGTCTAATTTTCAGTCACCAAGAGCTGGCAGGTAGTTGGAACTGATTTCCCCCCCTGAAGGACTATTTTTGCAGTTTTAAAAATAAGTAGGAAGGAAATACATGTTTCAGTTGCTGATAGCCATTTTACAAGAGTCTATGCCTTGAGGTTTAAGACCACATCTAAGGAGACAGTTAATGTTTTAACAGTTCTAAAAACAACATTCCAGAGAGGATAACATGAAGTAAAAAAGTTTTGGCCTCCTTCCAGCTCGTCATCTGAATGTATTTTTTTCTAAGTCTTGTATCTGTGCTAATGAATATTCCCGTACATTTTTGGTGGTATTAATTTTTCACCATCAATCAATTATTCTCTGCTGAATAGTCAGAAAGTGACTCTAAATAAAAAGAAAAACAATTTAATTTCTTCCTTTGTCTAGGATGAAGTACAAGTCTTTTGATCTTTTAAGGTTTTGTAGTGAACATGTTTATTTTTTAATTTTTTCCTATTTCTCTTTATTGAAAATAGATTTTTTACTATATTCTGAATATGGTTTCCCTTCCCCTTATTCTTCAGATTCTCCCCAACTTGCCTCCCACCCAAATCCACACGCCTTCTTTCTCTCTCTTATTAGAAAACAGGCATCTAAAATTGACAATAAATAAAATAACTCATTTATTTTGATGGTACAAGTTATATGCATTGCTCATAATTAAAATTTTAGACTACATCAGCATTTAGTACTTAATATAGATTAACTGCTTCATACATGTGTGTGCCTATATTTTTTCTCTAAGTTCTATTCCCTTGGTTAGAAACCTCACATGCTAGTAGCGTAAAATATTATTTTCCAGATTGCCATAATTCAAAGCAATGTTCATTGTATTATCGTACCATGACATTGAAAATATTTTTGAGAGCACCTAATATTGTATTCTTAGATTTCAGCTATTTCTCGGTGCAGCTTGGTAATTCTCAAAGTTAAGTTTATAGTATATTTCTCTTGAGAATATTTACAGAATCTTTGGAGTCTTCTGTTCAAACTATTTGAAACAGCATTTTAAAATTTGGTTACTTACAAGCTGTGGAACCCTGGGAACAGGCTTTGCTCATTCTGTGCCTCCAGTTTAGCATCTGTAAGATGGGTGCAAAACTGGTGACTATCTCATGGATTTATGAAGGGAATTTGGTAGATTAGTATGTTAAAAGCACTGGGGATATTGCATAAATTAAGCAGAGTATAAATGTTTACTGAATAACTTTGAATGAATGTAAAAAGAAAATCTCTCCTTTTCCCCCTTTTATAAATTAGAAAGCAGACCGAGCAAAGAGATTTGAGTTTTTACTGAAGCAGACAGAACTTTTTGCACATTTTATTCAACCTTCAGCACAGAAGTCTCCAACATCTCCTCTCACCATGAAAGTGGGGCGTCCTCGAGTAAAGAAAGAAGACAAGCAGAGTGTGATTTCTGTTGGAGAGTATGCACCCTTCTCTCTACTTTCTTCCCTCTCAATGTCTCTCCCTTCCCATTCAGTTTGCTCAGTAGAAATACATAAAACATGATCATTGACAATATAAATATGTCTTGAGAAGGTAAATATGTCTTGGAGATAGCTGTGTTTTTTCTTTACCAGAACTTAATTAGTTAAAAATGTAGACTGCTTCTAGCACATTCTGTGCCAGACACTAGATAGACTAAATAGCAAGTTCCTTTTTCATAAAAGATGTTAACAAACCTAACTTAGTTGGTGCTTCAGCATTGGTGTTGAATGTGAAAGGTTTTTTTTTCACTTTAGCTATCGCCACAGGCGCACAGAACAAGAAGAAGATGAAGAGCTGCTGTCAGAGAGTAGGAAAACATCTAATGTGTGTGTTAGATTTGAGGTTTCACCGTCCTGTGAGTACTTTATCACAGTCATGGTTGCTTTTACAGTTCAGTTTGAGAAAAACAAATTTCCTCGAGTATACTAGTGGAAGTTTGAGAGGCTCTTCATTTCTGTTTTCAGATGTGAAAGGAGGACCCCTGAGAGATTATCAGATTCGAGGACTAAACTGGCTGATCTCTTTGTATGAAAATGGAGTCAATGGTATTTTGGCTGATGAAATGGTAAGGCTCTGGTATTTAAAGTATGTTCTGAGTCACTAGAAGTTTTTAATGTAAATTTGAACTGCCTGTGCCGGAGTTCCTGCAAGCACTATGCCTGGAAAACTATCTAATGGCAAAATTATTTACCTTTTAGATTTATTTATTTTTCTTTCTGTGTGTGAGCGGCTTGCCTGTGTACCAGGTATTTGCAGTGCCTGGGGAGGTGAGAAGAGGGCATAGGATCTGCTGGCACTGGAGTTATGGATGGTTATGAGCCACCACATGAGTACCAGGAATGGAACCCAGGTCCTCTGTCAGAGCAACAAGTGCTCTTAACCTCTGAACTATGTCTCCAGCCTGGAAAAGAATGTTTGTAGTCTACGACTGTTCAAATAACCTTTAGAATATAGCCTTTTGCACAACACAGAGATCAACGGAGATTTCCTGAAGTGGTACAACACCTTTTTTTGCTTTTGCTATTGTTTGCATTTTGGCTTCCAGGAAGCCCAGAGAAAAGTGTAATGTCAAAAGGAATATCCCTTCAGCCTTTAAGGTCCGCCCTTGGTGGTTTCTTTTTCTTTTCCTTTTCTTTTCTTATGCTTTACCTTCTAGTATAATTTTCCTTGATAATTTTTCATTTCTGTTTTGCCATTAGTTTCTGTTCCATGATTTTATAATAGGCAACCTGGTGTCTTCTTGGGAATGAGGTAGGATATATAAACCAAACAATAAGTAAATGAATGAATGAACGAATTCATACATGAATGAATGTTGTCCTGTAACTAATTATGATAGGCCACTGTTATATGGCCTCAGACTAATGCGTTTCAATTATTTTGCCTTATCTTCCTAAGTGTTGGTTGGGATTATAGACATATAATATTCAGCTTCAGTGTTGAGTCTCCTTAACAGTAGAATACCAAGTGGCAGTCTTTTGATAAGCTAATGAATCATGGTCATGCATGTAAAATAACTGAAGATAAAGTAAGACCATACAAGATGCTAATTGAGTAGATGAGGGAATTATATGAAGGCCCTAATTTGTATTTTAAGATAAAATTAATAAAAATTAAAGGGCGGATAGACGGAGTTATAGATCTATTTAACCCAATAATATAGTATTTATGAGGCCCAGGAGTCATATTTTCAATCACTATTCTCCAGAAGGCCAATTGATGAAATGCAACTTATGACATTTAGTCACTCCCATAGGCACTCATCTTTGGCTGAGCAGCTATTAGGCATGTGGCAGAGCCATTTTTTTTAAAGCAAGGGTCAGTAGCTCCTTACATTTACATTATCCTCTTGAGGGCCATGTTAAGCTCAGAGTGGGAGTATCTTGGTTTATCTGTCACCAGGAAGACTGGGAATATTTACCCCAAGAATTTCTTTGCTACAACCTGTCTAAGACAAATGATCTAAAAATCCTTCCAGATTCTGCTGATGTTTTAATTTTATCTTATTTTTTATTGTCTTGCTTCCTTTTCCTTTTCAGTACTGGAACTTAAACCTAGGACCTTGTGTGTACCTAGACAAGCACCCTATTACCGTACTACACATCAATCCCTTTTATATCTTTTGTTTTGAGACAAGGTCCCAAGCTTTGAACTTGTGATTCCCCTGCTTTGGTCTCCCCAGTAGCTGAGATTACAGGTTATACCACCATGTCCAACTTGTTTTGATTAACAAAAGAGGAAGATATTTTAGAGAACATATGCAATTAAGAAAAATAAAAAGATATTTTTAATTAATTACTTTTAATTAAGTAATAGTAATCCTGTCATCGAGAAATAACCACAGTTGACATTTTGGCATGTTTCTTTTTAAGCTTTTTTCCTAGGAGTTTAGTTGAGATCATATTGTATGTGTAATTTGGCATTCTGACTTCTTCACATTCATATGTATTTTTGTATCATCAAATTACTTTGTCAAAGTAAGTTTTTTTGGTGTGCAATAGTCTTAAGGAGGTACCATTGTTTCTGCCCATTTCTCTCTTGATGCTGCCCATTTATATTGTTAGCCCCTGTGGTATAAATAGAGCTACTATGACAATCTTGTCCTTAGATTTTCTGTTTCTCCCAGGTTGTTCTACAGGACTCCGGGAAGCGGAATTGTCTTCTTAAACATTTTAAGGTTTTGGTGGATATTGCCCATAATAACCCATCTTAAGTGACTTATCCGATAAGATATAGCCCATAAAAGTGGCATTTACCTTAGATTTATAGAGTGAACTTCTATGCTTTGCTTAGAGATAAAGGCAAAAAGCTGCTTAATTATTTAGTGTTTACTTTAACTCGTGAAGCTGGGATCAAACCCAGGGCTTCCTACTAAGCAAGTGCTCTTCACCGAACCACACCCCAACTCTTATTTTAAAAAGCTGACTTTAAAAGGCTGAACAGCATACTGCATAGTTACCTTTCCCATGGGCTAGGTGGCAGGCTCACGGGGGTTTGATATATTACTTTAAAAGCACACTGCGCTAGGTGATCTCTAAGGTCTTTTCTCACTGCACTGCTCAGTTCCCTCTTGATTCCTAAGGTCATTAAGGGGGTGAGGTGTAAGTAGACAGCCGGAAGTCTCTTGAGAGGCACAGTCTGAATATTTAATGCCTGGGCTGGAGAAATGTTGGGAACAATAGGAAAGAAAGGTCACTATCTCAGCAGTTTCTAGAAAGAAGTCTATTTTTGTGAAACATATACCTCAAAATTCCTAGTTTTTCACCTACTAGAAGAGATTATGTAATCACTTTGCTTGCTCCTAAATAGAGTCAGCATGTCCTAAGTGGAAGGGTAACTTATTATACAATAATTTGACTACAGGTTGTGGGTTCTTTTCCTCTCCATTCACGACAAATACTGAACTGAAATGGTCTTGTATCTTTCTTCTTTAAAAAAAAAAGGCTCTTCTTACTTTTCATCGGTGTAAGCCTAGTTCCCAATGTGAGATTGTTGGCACCTATTTTTTCTAATGTTGTTTCTAACAAATCATTTTATTTAAAAATGTGTATCCATGTGTTTTCCCCTTTGTGATGATAATGCAGGGTCTTGGGAAGACTTTACAAACCATCGCTTTGCTTGGTTACCTGAAGCACTACAGAAACATTCCTGGACCCCACATGGTTTTAGTTCCAAAGTCTACATTACACAACTGGATGAATGAATTTAAACGATGGGTTCCGTCTCTTCGTGTTATTTGTTTTGTTGGAGACAAAGATGTAAGAGTAAGTTGAGAAACAGCTTTAAAACTGCTGTCAAGGATACCATGTCTAGACTGCAGTTGCATATTTTTTGCTGTTAAAGATAGTTAAGTCAGCTATGAATACTGCTGCTACTAAATAACACTCCAACGGTACCAACTCTGAGCTAGGCTCTGTTGTACTGTGCATGTATTAACTCATTTAGTTGTGAACTGTGTTTCCTTTTACATAGTATGCACCATTAGCAACCCCATCATTTTTGGAGACAGAAGTTGCAATGACTTAAATCTTGCTGTTTGAAGTTTTGGATTGTTGGTGCATTCACACATTTGTCCACATATAGAAATCTTCTGAGGCTGCAGAGAACCTCTCCATTCTCTGTTTAAGCAAGACTTGTAATGTGTCTGTGTGTATTCTCAGATAATACTAGAAATTTGGATTTTGGCAGGGGAGGGAGAGATATTTAAATTAGCTATTTGTCTAGTTAGTAAGCTATAATCATTTAGGACTGTAGAATCAATCAAAAAGTAATAAATTATGCAAAACACAAAAAGAATAATTTGCTTAGAAAGCATATTATTGAACTTTGTCTTTATTTTGCCCTCAGAGAACACAGTTTAAAATAAAAGTTTATACTATTTTACATATTTAGATAGATGGATTATCAAGAGGTACTCTCAGAGGTATAGTACCATAATGAATTATGTAATTTTATCATTATCATTTTGCTTGAAGAAAATTTGCTTAAATTTATTTAAATTTAACTTATAAATAATTTAAATATTGAAATACTGAGTTCATAAATTTAGAATCACAAGGTTGATTCCTTCCTAAGCCTATTATTTCTCCATAGCAAATTGGTCACTTAGAACTCTTTTCTTGTCATTGCTATTACTTAATGTACTGCAATTGCTAACAAAATTGTATTTCTAAGATATTGATACTTTGCTGAAATCATTTCTTGAAAATTATAAGTAAAAGGACAACATCCAGGTGTGTGAGTTCTCACAGTACAATAATAAAACTATTTTTTTTTGAGGTAGGCTCTCACTATTTAGGCCTGGTTGGCCTGGAACTCACTGTGTAGACCAGGCTGGCCTCAAACATCTCCATCTACCTCAGCCTCCAGAGGGCTGGATTAAAAATGTGAGCCACCATGCCCAGTGCATAAAAATGTAAATCAATGGATTTAAATATGATACATAGATTCTAAATTTTTTATGAGTTACCGCTGGGGAGCTTTAAAGAGAAAGAGAGTGGAGGTACATTAATCATGACTGTCCTGCCTCCTGGGAGGCTGGGATTATGTTGACTTGAACAATCTCTTAGCTTGAAAGCCAGTCTGTGAAGACAGTAGTTTACAAATTGTGAGTAGGTTGTGGTTTCATCTTAGTTGGTAGTGGCAACATTTTTTAAAAGTATCAGGAGGGAATAGCAGAGCAAGCAAGCAGTTTCATAACACTGGCAAATAAAAGTGTTGCTTTAATAAATTGTTTAAATTGGTTTTTGGATACATAAATTCTAACACTTATGCATAAATTAGATCACAAGTTAAATACAGTTTATTACAGTTCATAACTAAAACTTTCTAAACCAGGAATTATCAATCTCATATATAATTAATGTGGTAAGTTCAGTTCTTAGAGATTGATGTTGATGTATCTAAAATTCTGGATGATCATCTGTAGACCCATTTGAACCTTGGTATCATATGGGATAGATATGTTGACCCTCCCATTTTTATGGCTTTCTGCAAGTAACTTAGGAGGCTAATATTTAACAATGAAAAATTTAATTTCTATACAAGCATTTGAGTTGTGAAGTTGTTAGAGATATAATTGATCTTGTCTATATAAAGAGATGCTCTTTTTATATTCATTTTATTAATTTATTTTTTATATTCCAAGCCCATTTCCCCCTCTCCTCCTGCTCTCCCCACTCCCTCCCACCTACCATCTGCTCCTCAGAGAAGGTAAGGCCTCTCCTAGGAAGTCTACTAAGTCTGTCCCATCATCTTGTTGAGGCAGGACCAAGGCATCTCTCCACCCCCACACCCCTATGGCTAGACTGGGCAAGGTAGAGAGATGCTCTTGATCCTGACTGATATAAAGTTCTCTTGAAGTCTATTGCCATATTGCTTTTTTTAAATCTATCACAGAGGAATCCATACCTAGTGAACATGGAAACAGATATGGTCTTAATTCCAACATCACTACTGATTGTGCAGTTATGAGTGAGTTTCAATGTGCACGGGCTTAATACCAACAAAAGGAGAGCTTTGGGGTCATGTAGCCTTCAATATTTTATCAAGATATCTAACTCTAAATCTGGCCAATAGTTTCATAATTTATAAACATGACTTAAGTTAAATAAAAAGGAAATCCCAATTCCACAAAATTCTTGAGAAACCATGAAGCTGAATCTTTTACTCAGTGAAACAAAGATTAGATATTGGTTGGAATCAGTGAGATCTGGTACCCAGCCCACCCCTAACAATCTTCTAAATTTTAATTGCCTTTTAAAATGTGACAATTTTTCAACATCTAATCGAGGTGGCTACAAAGCTATTTTTCTGTCCTAGGAAAGCCTTTTAATACATACTGAACCCTTATAAATGTTGTTGAATGAATCAAAGTGTGCTTGGTGCATATTTATGAATTAAGAAGTAGAGATTTTTGTCCATAACCCATTGATTTTCTTTCTTTAGGCAGTGTAACTCTCAAGATACAGTACCAAGTAGTTCCTTTTCACATAGATTTTTTTCTGCTTCCTTTAAAGTTTTGTCTTTTTACTTTGGTGCATGACATCTGGAATGAAGTTCCTACTAGTTGCAGATGTTTTCAGTCTAATTGGCTACCATGTTGGCCACTACCTGTGAAAATATAAAACTAGTTGTCAGTAGTCTCATGGTTTTTACTAGCTTCCTTTACTACATAGTGAAGATTCCCTTCATTAAACCACATCTGTAGCCTTATAATAACATTAAGAACTTCACAAAATTATTACCAAAATATCAATTCTTTTCGACCGGGAAATGAAGGAATATATAGGATGTCCCCAAAGGTGTGAACTGTTACTATATGTTAGATTATGTTAGTAGTGTTTGAATCTTTATAGCACTAAGGTGTTCAGTTATTTCTTCCATGTCCTTTTGGGCCTCTTGTGACACAAAGTGATTTTCTGGTTCATGTGATATGAGCTTATGCTTTTCTTTTGTTGATAAGTATGTTCTCAACATAGCCAGATTGTTGACCACAAAGTTATTTTTGGGTCCTGATTTTCCTATCTCTCAAACAAACAAGACAAAGTGTGGACCATGATGGTCCACACAACTCTTAATATTTTTAGACAATTTAATTTGGTGATCACCCTGTCAACATGTTGTAATATAGCAAACTTTATTTTGGTTTAGGCTGCTTTTATTCGTGATGAAATGATGCCAGGAGAGTGGGATGTCTGTGTGACTTCTTATGAGATGGTAATTAAAGAAAAATCTGTCTTTAAAAAGTTTCATTGGAGATACTTAGTCATTGATGAAGCACACAGAATAAAAAATGAAAAATCTAAGGTAAGTTCTCAATATCCTTTTTCAAGTTTTCATTTACATAGTAAGCTTGTTCGTTCACTTTTCTGTGTTTAAAATGAAAACAAAGTACTAGAAGATTGTGGTATTATACACAGGCTGTGGATGAAAGTCATTTTTTAAAAGTGTTCATAAAGGCTAAATTATTGAATACAGGACCTATAAAAGTTGAGCACCAATTTTAATGCAAATTAGGTATTTATTTGCTACATTATTTTAATATTACTGAGACTATTTGTTGTACAAATATAATTTCCATCGACTAATTTTTTTATTGAGGAGTTACTTATCTTATGTGTATTTCTATGGATTAGAAAAAGGAATTTCCTGCAATTATCTGACTTATGTGAATTAGAACATTGAAAAATATCAATTATCTGTTGTCATTTAACTTCATTGACAGTAGGAAAAACTTCACTTATAATGATGAGCCTCTCTTTGGATCACTGGGCTACTTTGGGAGAAACAGGGACAGAACTGGAGCAAAACCACCAGGTGGAGCGTACTAATTTCACACTGGAACTAATACTTGATAATGCTTCAAGAAGAGCATCCTAAAATTACTGATTTTATGTTTTGTCACATTTTTTGTGGTAGTAAGCTTGAAATGTTAATACATAGTATCAGGGAAAATGAGCTCAATTCTGGTGCGAAAAATTGTGGTCAGGCTGAGTTGGAATTTAGCTGTGCATGTAGATAAACATGGTTGGTGTGGAGATTTTGTTACATAAAGTGCTAGCCTGGATTCCACTAAATAAGTTTTATTTTCTGAGCCTCAAAATGGGAAACTAAAACATTTCATGAAGCCGGGCCTTGGTGGCGCACGCCTTTAATCCCAGCACTCGGGAGGCAGAGGCAGGTGGATCTCTGTAAGTTCGAGTCCAGCCTGGACTACCAAGCGAGTTCCAGGACAGCCTCCAAAGCCACAGAGAAACCCTGTCTCGAAAAACCAAAAAAAAAAAAACATTTCATGATGGGGAGGCATCTCAGATATAAATATGACTTTTATTCTTTCAGGTGTGGAAATGTCTAGGATATTAGTGTGCAATGTCACCTGAACTAAGATGTTTTTCCATAGGAAGTTAATTTCCATGTCTTAGTGTACCACAATGTATTGAGTGAAGCATATAACTGAATATTGAGCATTCCAAGAACCAGAACAATGCTTATGTAACTGCTATGTATACATATTATTTTTAGCTTTCAGAGATTGTTCGTGAGTTCAAGTCCACTAATCGCTTACTTCTAACTGGGACACCTTTGCAGAATAACCTGCATGAACTCTGGGCTTTACTTAACTTTTTATTGCCGGATGTCTTTAATTCTGCAGATGTAAGTTTGAAACATAGTATTTGTGTGAGGGGTGCTGGTGCTCAGGGTTGAACCCAGGGTGCTTAGCTGATATCCATGTTAGGTGCCACTTTACTACTGATCTCCAATCCCACCTCCAAATCATACATCATAATGTATTTTCCTAATGTTCATAATCATTTATGTTCTTCCCTCCCTCCCTCTCTCCCTCCGTCACTCCCTCCATCTCTCTCCTTTATTATTATTGTGTGTACATGGTGTCTGTATGTGTGGAGACCAGAGGAAAACTTGACCAAGTCACTTCTCTCCTTATATGTGTACTCTCAGATTGAACTCATTTTCTTATGCTGACCCTGTGAACTATCTTGCTGGCCTGAGACATCTTTTTTCAAAGTATAGACAATAGGTTAAATTTATACTTTTTTTCCATTTGTGATTCTTTATTTGTGTGTTTCAGTTTTCTCAAGAAAGTACAAGGCCCAAAATTTTAGAGTAAGCATATTTGGGAAATAGTGCATTTCTATTCTCTCTAATTATTCTCTGTTATTTTGCCTATATCACAATTTTATCACATTTATATGATAGATTGAGTCTAGAATAGTGTATTCAACATTTCCATTAAATTTAAGACTTATTTTTCATTATTATCAACATATTTTTATGAGAGCAGCGAATTGAATAGAATGATTCAAGGATTTTGTCTTAATTTTTATATCCCATTTTCTTAACTAGGTATAATGTGTGATATAGTGAAAATAATATATTCTAAGGTGATAGTGTTCCTTTATAGTGTCATTAAAATTTTGTCAACCATTACAGTATTTTCATCTATTTTAAAAATAAGACATATGACTATCAAAATAGAATGTTTAAGTACTTTTAAAGTGGACTATTTCTATATTGGTTGTATATAAATGTATAGAGTATCAAGTTTATGTTTTTAAAAATTGTGTACTTATTGTAGAATTTTCACCCCTCCACAGGACTTTGATTCTTGGTTTGACACTAAAAATTGCCTTGGTGATCAAAAACTTGTGGAAAGACTCCATGCAGTAAGTAATAGTAGTTAAAAAGTCAATAATAAATTTAATGGAACATAACTGAGCATATTTAAGCATAACACAACTTTGGGAAAATTTTTTCAGCCTCATGAGTCCAACAAAGCTTAAGACATATTTACATTGAAGCTCTTTACAAAGTAATATGGCTTTGTCAGTAGCATGGGATCTTGATGACTTAGAAACAATGCTCAAGATAAGGGTCTAGGGAGTGTGACTGATGTAAACTTAATCTCTTTGGCAGTCAGGATTTGGTCTGGCCCTGATATAACACAAAACTCACTTAGGCTGTTGTAAAGTATAAGTGACAAGGATAACTTTATGACTCAGAAGCAATGCTCAAGGTTTTAGGCAGAAAGGGCCTGGGATAAGTAAAACATAAATTCTGGAAGATATGGGCAGAGCCTGACGCAAAGGATCACCAGACTGTAAACTACATCCATTCCTAGAATTCTAGGAGGATGATAACTTAAACATCTCTTTCCTTTGAAGGATGCCTGTGAGTTTAACTTCCTGGCTTCTCCAGTTTTTACCTGTGTACACAAGCACTTTTTGCCCCATCCATCCATCCATCCATCCATCCATCCATCCATCCATCCATCCATCCATCCATCCATCCATCCATCCATCCATGCTCCCTCAACTTTGGGTCTTTAACTATGATTTTCTTTTCTTGACAGCCAATTTACCACAAAGAGTAGTTTACCTCTACATCTTCACTGCCTAATCTCCAATTTACTCATAAATCTGCTGATTATTGATGTCTCTCCATCCCATATGAGTGAAACCTATTTTACATAGTGTTCAATGACTTTTCAGTTGCTAAATTCAGGATATGCCAGTAGTAATTAGCCCCACTAATCAATATTAGAAACTATTTGGTTTCTCTGGAGATCCACTCCCATGTTTTCTCCTACCTTAGCCTCTAACTCTCAAGTTTACTTCTCATAACTATTTTATAAAATCTATATAGTACCTCTCCTTTATCTATCATTTTGCTTTCTACTATTTCAGTTTTCCATAGTCAATAATAGTCCAAAATATAGAAAATCATAGAAGGAAAACAATGATTAATCTCTATGCATGAACCACCACTAGTTTCCATACCATTCTTGAAAGTATTATTATCCTTAATACAAAATACTGTCTGCTGTTGAAAGAAAATATATTCAAATAACTTATATTGCTCTATTATATTTTATTATTATTTTACTATATTTCTGTGTTGGATTTATAAATTAGATTTATCATAGATATATATGTATGAGACATCATATTGTATATAGGATTTTTTATAACTTGCTATCTTGAGAATCTTCTAGGGATCATGGACTCTGTTTCCAATGGGATAACTGGGAACTACTGACTTTATTTAACTTCCTACTGCAACCTGAGGATTTTTTTTGCTGTCTTACAGACAGTTTAAATTTTTAACAAACATTTAGATAAATTTAAAAGGCTCAATCCAGAAACAAACAGTCTCATTATCTCTTATAGATATCTAATAATAATGGCTTATTACATGTTCACTACAAATAATCTCTGTACATGAATTACCACAAATTTTCATAGCAGCCTAGGAAATAAGTACTATTATTTTCAATGCAAAATACATTAAAATATATGTGTTGAAATATTTTTAGATGAATTGAGAAATGAACTGGAAAAAATTAAAGTCTGTTTAATTCTGCTTCTACTTGTTAGCATAGTGACTTTGGTGGACTCACTGAAATTGAAATAATCATATTGATCCAGGTGGTGATGGTGCATGAGGCAGGTGGATCTCTGAGTTAGAGGCCAGCCTGGTCTACAGAGTAAGTTCCATGACAGAGGAACCATGTCATGGAAAACACAAAAACCAAAACTAAAACAAACAAAACCAACAAAAAAGAAAATAAACACATTCAGAACTGGAGAGATGGCTCAGCAGTTAAGAATACTTGTTGTGCAGAAAGGACTTGGGTTCACTTCTCTACGTGGAGTCACACAGCCAACCATATCTTCAGTTCCAGAAAGTATGATGCCTTCTTCTGGCCTCCATGGGCAGGCACACACATGTTGCACATACTATAAATGTAGACAAAACATATATATTAAATAAGATAAATATATCTGAAAAATTGAGAAAAGAAATAATCATATTCCCTTCGATGATTTATTATAAGGATTTAACTACTACCTATAAAGTTAATGGTGCAGTATGTGGTATGTTGCTGGTAGATACTCCATGAATTGGAGCATCATTTTCTTGTGACAAAAATCTGTGTTCCCGATATACACTAATTACCTTTTATCTCTATTCACACTTGTCTTTCTTTTTTAACATTGAATTTTCTTCATTCATTTATTTAATTATTTTAAATTACCTGAATTTTAATTTTATTTTGAGGGAATTTAAACTGAAACTCTCATTTCCTATATTTCCTAAGTTAAAAAATCTTGTATTAAAAGTAGTATTTAAAGCAAGAATTCTTCATTGATTACTCAATAGACAACAGCCTTTTCTTAATTTTTAGCTTAATTCCTCCTGTTATGTCATGAATGTTTAATTTTCCTCCCTCATTTTTACAGGGGCTTGGAATTGAACCTAGAGATTTGTGAGTGCTGATCATTCTCTCTTTTTTTTTTTTTGAGAAATACCCCAACCGCCATTTCTTCTAAGATGGTTTCTTTGTGTAGCCTTTGCTGTTGTGGCATCTGCTCTGTAGACCAGGTTGGCCTTGTACTCACAGAGATCCATCTGCCTCTGCCCCCCAAGTGCTGGGATTAAAGGTGTGTGCTATTCCAATATTTTAAGGAGTTATTTTTTGGTGGTTATTTACTGAGAGATTAGGCAGATTTTGGCTTTTATTATTGTTAGTGTTTGTTAGATTATGTATCAGGATGAAAGCTTTAACAGGTAGTATTAATGAAATACACAGTTTGAAATTGTAAATGCTTTATGTGCTTTTATAATAAACCTTGCTTTTTAGGTTTTAAAACCATTTTTGTTACGCCGCATAAAAACTGATGTAGAGAAGAGTCTGCCTCCTAAAAAGGAAATAAAGATTTATTTGGGACTGAGTAAAATGCAACGAGAATGGTGAGATATTTTATATCCACTCACACACACACACATGCACACACACACACACATACACACACACACACACACAAGAATTTATTAAAAACTGTATCTGTTGAAAGTTCAACATGATAATTACACTTTATACTTAAATGGCAAGTTAGGTTGTTCAAATATTCTATTAGTAAAATGTGTTTTATTTAAAATGGAAGTTGAGATTACATTTAGCTCAAGCATGAATATAGCTCAAATGAGTCAAAAGTTCGCTGTAAACTTTCAGGAAATACATTAATTAGTGGATATTGTCAGACGTAATTGCTGGAATCACTGGTAACAAATGACAATTTCTAGTAATGGATGTGATATAGGGACATTGTCACTGGTAACAAATGACAATTTCTAGTAATGGATATGATATAGGGACATCGGTCCATAAACAACATATAAATAAGTAACATTCAAAACAAAATGTTCAAATCTTTACTTTCTTAGTTTTTCAGATCATATGTTCTTTCAAAAAAACCCTTTTGTATCTTCTGGGGTTAAACCCGGGGCACTGTGCATATTAGGCTTTCATTCTACCATAGAATGATAACTCCAGCCCTCAAAACAAATCTGCTTTGATTTACTTTATTACTATTAAATAAGAATCTAACCATAGGACTGTGGGAACATTTATTTATGGCATGAAGTGTTCTTAAAATTGATTAATTATAGTTTAACATTTTAGGTATACAAAAATTCTGATGAAAGATATTGATGTTTTAAACTCTGCTGGCAAGATGGACAAGATGCGACTCTTAAATATTCTGATGCAGCTCCGAAAGTGTTGTAATCATCCTTATCTATTTGATGGTGCAGAGCCTGGCCCACCTTATACAACAGATGAACACATTGTCAGCAATAGTGGTAAAATGGTAGCTCTGGATAAGCTATTGGCGAGAATTAAAGAACAGGGTGAGTGAGGGAATTTTTATTAGCATGGAATAAATTTACAACAATGGTTTGTGTGTTAATAAAATATTTCTTATTCATTCATCTACTTGATTAGTAGACATTGTTGAGTACTTACGGTTTGTCAGGAGTTGTCCACAGGCTAGGAATCCAAAGGTGAATATGACAATGGCTTTGCCTTGGAGAAGCTCACAGTGTAGTGAGAAAGAGGAGCTGCAATTCATTGTACTAAGTGCACTTTGTTGTGCTGTTGAGAAATGGGGTTGCGAGTGCCTTCACAGTGATGATGTTTGAAGTCAAGACTGGGGAATGTAGTTAGGAGTGAGCTGTTGATAATGGGAGGGGATTGCTTTTCCAGGGCAATGGAACAGTGTGAAAGAAGGGAACACAGAAGAGGAATTTATGGTATGTGAGGTAGAATGGCATTTGGTGAATTTGGTAAGGATAGATGGTACCAAATTATGAAAGGCCTTTAAATCCATACTTCAGAAAGTGTTTAGACTTCTATTTTGGATGCAGAGTCATCATAGAAGTTTAGTGAAATGAAGTAACATGAGCAGAATTGTATGTCAGGAAGATAACATTGGCAGCACTTTGTGGGAAATTTACTGGGGATGAGAGATTAAAACCAGAAGACAAGGTAGAAGACAGTTGTAATAGTAGTCCAGTGGGAGATTATATGGATCATTGTAGATCCTTAGAAAAAAGAGTAGGCAGAATCTTAGTTGCAGTAGTGGGTGTGAAAGATTTTTGAAGATCTAATGAAAACCTTGTTGATCAACCAATAATTTTGTATAACATTCTTTGTTTCTTGTGTGTGTTTGTGTATTCATGTGTCATATTCTTTAGGTTGTCTATGATGCTTTATTTTGTTTTTGACTTTCAAGTTAGCTGAAATTACTAGCATATATTAATTGCACAAAGACAATGTGTTTCATTATGGTGTTTTCATACTTTACACAAGTCGTGTAACCCAATTTTCTGGTGAAATATTTTAGGGTCAAGAGTTCTCATTTTTAGCCAGATGACTCGTCTGCTAGACATTTTGGAGGATTATTGTATGTGGCGTGGTTATGAGTATTGTCGACTGGATGGACAAACCCCACATGAAGAAAGAGAGGTGAGGGCAAGAAAATGAAGCAAGACTTTAAAAATCAGAGCTCAGTTACACAATACTTTTCTTTACCAAGTTGTTTTAAGCTTTGGTCTGGTCTACTTCTAGGTGGTACTGAATTTCTCACTGCCATCAAGGTCTCTCTTCCATATTTATCTTCTATTTCACCAGTTTTCCCAATCATCCCAAGATCTTCAAAGATATTCTTTTCTAAGAATGCTATCTGATTCCATTCTCATCTCTTTTAGTCAATATTCCATTGATTACTGTTTCTCAACTTAACCTCCGACTTCTGATTTTATGTTACTTTCTTAATTTGTCTTCCAACTGGAGACCCTTGTCATTTATGGAGTTTAATGGTGGACATTTTGCTGACTTATGAATAACTAACTTTAATATTGAGTTAAGGAACAGTCTTGTCTGTGGTGGACTTTTATAAAAATAAGTTATGACAAAATAGGTGTAGGTACATAGTTGTTTGGGATTTTAGGACACTAAAATGTTGGTTTGGAAGCAAGAGTAAGTATGCCTATCTATCACCCAATGTCTTCTTCAGATTTGGAAATTCTTGTCTTTGTTATTATTATCTATCACAAATACCATGACTCGAAGAAGGCATTTTAAACACATTATATCACTTTGTTGATGACTTTGCTAATTCCTTTTCTCTTTCCTGTGATCCTTTAGGTCTCTGTCTTTGCTTTCTTTTTTAAGTCAATACTCGTCCTCTGGGCAAAAGAACAAGATTTTATGGTACAATGGAAAATACACAGAACTTGGCTTGGAGAGCTGACTTTTAGCACCATTTTCTCAAGTGTACAGATCACTTAATTATGTGAGCCCCAGTATCTTTAATGTCATAAAGATAAAATTAATACTAAATGCTTCTTTCTGATGACATTGTGAAGTTTGGTGGGTATAATAGCTATAAGCAGTTTAAAATATACAGTCCACAATATATTGTGTGCCATGAAATTGCACACAGGTCTGTATATGTTCAGGACACTTCCTTAGGCTATAGAAACCCCAGCTTATGTCTCTCTCCTTACACAGCTTCTTCCACTGACAAGGATTTCTGTCTTTTATTCACACCCTTATTGAAGCCTGGGTATCACATAGGATAGTGTTACCAGCAGCACACAGACCTCTCTGTGTTAAGGGTTTTCTGATACCTGTTGAAAGGAAAAAGTTCTGGTAACTTTTACATGTAAAAGAATGTTTAAATGCTTCAATTACTTCCCCCGATAGTTTGAAGTCCTCTAAGACAGTTACTTGAAACTTTAGTTGACTTATTTCTGAGAACCTATTCCTTCACTAAGCATAGCATCTCTGGTTCTGTTCAAGGCGATTGACGCTTCTTTCTAGAATGAAGAGGATACCAGGCAAAATTTAGTATGTATTATCTGACCTCAAAATGCCAGTTGTCACTTCTGACCTAGCTCCCTGACCATTACTTAGTGATGTGGAAGTTCTTCCTCCTCCTCCTCCTCCTCTTCCTCCTCTTCCTCCTCCTCCACATTTTCTAAAACTCCAAATATTGGTCTCCATTCAAACTTTTTGAATTACATTATCAAATTTGAATACAAAGAAGTAATTTCTTTTCCCTGGGAGATGTTCTGCTTATGTTGCTATTCATATAATAATTTCAAGTCTTTTCCTAATACATTTGATTCTTTGCTCTGTCTATGAGCAGTGGAGACTGTTCCTCCTTAATAATTGTGGCATTTACCCTTTCCTATGGATAAATTAAGCCATTTAGGCCTCTGACATAATTGGTCTCACTTTTTATAGGGAAACTTAACATATGTATATATGTTATGGGCCAGGTACTTTGAAGTTCCAAATGGTTCTCCCGGTAGTCTGGGTAAGAAACTTATAGGATTTTTGCCACATGAGGTTGTGTCTCAGAGAAGTTAAAGGCTCATGTCTCATATGTATATACACGGCTGAGTTGTGCTTCACTCCAAGGTTTTTGCGATTTCCTTTAGACCAGGGTGACCATCACCAATCTTATTGTGTTCTTTACTACATGGTTTCATGCTCTACTGACTGGTAATACTAGTCACCTTGTCTGCCTAGAACTTAGATCATACTTGTCTATTGTGTGAAAAATATGTGTGCATTTTGTGACTATATAAGTAATTTATGAGGGAGATTTACAAATCTATTTTCTCTGGGAAGTATTTATGAGAAATAATATGTAAGAAATTGATGCCATACTTTTAATCAGGATTATATTGTGCTTTGTCAGTAAAAATAATCATTATAAATAGTTTTAGGAAATATTTAGCCTTAACTATGTACTCTAAAGTAATGTGTCCCCTTATTGTTGGTGATTTAGGTTGTTTCCAATTTTTCACTGTTGTAACAAATGCTACAGTGAAAGTCTTTATACATAAATCTTGTGTACATCTCTGATTATTTCCTTAGGATAAGTTCCTGGAAGTGGAATTACTGGGTCAAAGGGTATGAACATTATTCAGGCTCTTGGTGCATGTTGCCAAATTGCTTTCCAGAAAGATTGTTCCAATTTACACCCCAGAAGCAATATCCCTCATCAACATTGAGTATTATCATTTTTTTATCCTTAAAAATGTCAATATATTATTTGTTTGCATCTATTTGATTACTAGTGAGAAATGAACATTATTCTTGTATATATATATAACATATATATATATATATTCTGTTGAAGTTGTTTGCTTCTCAGGTTCCTTTTTCTACTGGCGTCATCATTTTCCTAATTACTGTCTATGAGATCTTTGTATAGAGGATATTAACAATATATTAATTCTTAAGATTTTTACTAAATATCCCTGGACATGTTATTCTGATTTTCCTGATTATTTACTCTTTCCCCTTTGTCATTTTCATATTATTGATCATCTTTCTCTCATTTGCATTTCTCAACTTTTCTCTCTCTTGATTGATCTTAGCCACATCTTGCTTGTCAGTCTTCAAAATATTGTTTCTGTCATTTTACTTGAAGACATATTTTAGCTCTTAATTAATTAGAATGCGAATGAATTATTTGCTTAGTTAACCTTATTTGTATGATTGCTCTGTGTTTGTCTTCATTGGTTAACATTTATAAACTTCATATAGAAAAACATCTTTTCTTCACCTACTTACACAATGCAGTATATAGCTTTGAGGAATATTATAAAGTAATGGGTTATGGAAAATATTATATATAAAGTATAAAATTATTTTCTGTGAGCATGTTAACTTTTATATTTATTAAGATTTTCTGTTTTTATGTTTCTTTGTTAATTAAAAAAGGGAGCGATAGAGGCCTTCAATGCTCCTAATAGCAGCAAATTCATCTTTATGCTGAGTACCAGGGCTGGAGGTCTTGGAATTAACTTGGCAAGTGCTGATGTGGTTATCCTATATGATTCAGACTGGAATCCACAAGTTGATCTACAAGCTATGGTTAGTAATGTTTAACAATACCATGAAATTATTGAAGCTCAGAATAATATTTTTATATAGCGCAAAGTTAATGAATGATTAAAAGGTAACAATCTTGGAGTGATTTTGTGCAAATTAGAATTAAAGTTGTTGAGCTAATTGCAAAAACAAAACAAATGAAAACTAATATATACTTCAAATATAAGTGTAAAACTTACATATATATGTGTACATATATACATATATGCATATACATATGCATATACATATACACATGCTTTCATCACAGAATAGAAATGTCAGCTTTTTCCTATTCTTAAGTATTGAGGAGACTTCCTGAGTTTTTTTGAAAAGAGGATTAACAATCAATCTATTATTTTACATAACAAATGCATATTAAAATCTTTAGGCCAGGCATGGTGGCATATGCTTTTAATATCTGCACTCAGGAAACAGAGGTAGGGGAATCTCTATGAGTTTGAGGTGACCCTGGTCTACAGAGTGTGTTTCAGGTCAGCTGGGACAACATGGTTACACCCTGTTAAAAATGTTTTTTTTAGTACTAAAGTTAGAAAAGGTCAGATTTTGACTTTTGTGATAAAATAATTGGAAAGAGAAGGTAAAATATGAAAAAGGAAAATGCCGTTTGAGGACATGATTTGAAAACTTTGAGTGTGTGTGTGTGTGTGTGTGTGTGTGTGTGTGTGTGTGCTTTCATTTGTGTGTATGTGTGTTCCTGAGAGATTTGGAAATCAGAGACTGACATGAAGATGTCTTCCTCAGTTGTTTCCCATCTTCTTTTTGAGACATGTTCTCTTATTGAGCCTGGAGCTTGCCTCTTTGGCTTGACAGGTTGGTCTATGAGCCTACGCCTGTCCCACCTACCCTCCAGCCCTGAACCCACTTGTTGCAACCTTTAGAATACACTACCATGCTTGACATTTATATGGGTGCTAGATATCCAAACCTAGGTCCTCATGCTTGAGCAGTAAGCACTTTACCCACTGAATCATCTTTACAACCTTTTAAATAATTTTGTGAGCATGTGTGCAATTGCGCGTGTGCACAGTCTCTCTCTCTCTTTCATACACACACACACACACACACACACACACACACACACACACACACAAAGCTGTTTCTCTTACTGTTTATCATAGTCTGGTCATTCAGGGATTGCTGTTTGGAGTTTAAATTTTTAGATGTTTGTAGAGCATTAAATTCTCTTTGAATGTGCTTTATCTAAAAATTAGTTATTGGACTATAGTGTTTTTATATTTACTACAAGGACTGTTTTTCAACCTTGTTTCTTTGTTCCTCCTGGCTTCCTCTCTGTTCCCATTTGCCCTGGTGGTTTCTGCATTTTAAATACACTCTCCCCACATGCTTATATTTTGCCAGAATTTGTCACCTGCCACCTTTGCTAATTATAAACCATTGAAGCAATTCTAATATAGTAAAATTATGACGATCTCATTAATATTTATGAACCTTTGTTATGTATCCCAGAATTGCCTTGGTAAGCAGAAAGAAATGCTTGATGGATGATGAGATAAAGCAGATTTTGTCAACATAGCAGCCCTTGCGAACTACATTGTTCCTTTACTACAGAAACTCCTTGCTTCTCCTAGGGATGTTTGTATCTAGTGAGTTAAAGCTACATAGTAACTTTATTTGTCCTCATCTTAAAGGGGATTTGCCTCACGAAATTCTGAGTTTCCCAGTAGTAGCACAGCACGCTTTGTGATTTCTTTGTTCCCAGAAGTCTTTGGACATTCTCAGCATCCATCACCCACCATTCATAAGTGACAGGTATAGACAGATTGAAGTCTGAATTTTATTTTGGGATATTTATAGCACTGTAGCTATGTGTCTAAGTCTTAACAAGAGTCTCTAGCATCTTACAACTGGACTCTTTCTGCTAGGATCGGGCACATCGCATTGGTCAGAAGAAGCCAGTACGAGTCTTCCGTCTCATTACTGACAACACAGTGGAAGAGAGGATTGTAGAGAGAGCTGAGATAAAACTGAGACTTGATTCAATTGTTATACAGCAAGGTATTTCTATATGGAAAGTTCATTAGTTGGAGGAGAGGTAAAACACATTTAGTTTCCTGCGAAGATTAGTTTTCAATTATCTTTTTCCCTTTTAATTTTAGCTTATAATATAATTTCATCATTTCTTCCTTCCCTTTCTTCCTTTCAAACTGTCCTATATATATACCCTCCTTGCTGTTTCAAATCAATGGCCTATTTTTTAAGTGATTGTTATTACATGCTTATATGTATATTCCTAAATATAACCTGCTCCGTCTACATAATGTTATTTATAGGTAAATAACCCTTGATATTTGCAATCTTTCTACTTTAAGCCTATGCCTACAGTATATGAAATAAACTCATTAGGTTATAGTTGAATGTCAATGACATGGCTTTTGCAGTACCTTATTCTATTTAACAGATAAATATCGGCTTCTGAAAAATTTACAGAATACATACCAGAGCATCTTTTCCATAAGGAGAAGTTATCTGAAAAAATGAAATTGGAACAAAAAAAGTATTACTGACCAGGGTTTTTAACTTAAATAGTGAATTAGAAAATGTGGTAGAAAAACTATCAGTTGCTTATTAAGTAAATAACATTAACCTCACCAATGTGTGTCACAAAGCTGCTTTAGATAGGATTTCATCCAATAGTGTCTGGTCAGAACCATTATAGTGTACTTCCTTTGAAATAGAATTGACTGTTTCATTTTAACTGTTATTAGGAAGACTCATTGACCAACAATCTAACAAGCTGGCAAAAGAGGAAATGCTGCAAATGATACGCCATGGAGCCACCCATGTTTTTGCCTGTAAAGAAAGTGAGCTAACAGATGAAGATATTACAACTATTCTGGAAAGAGGGGAAAAGAAGGTTAGTTCAAAATAGCATTGTATTTTCAAGATGGGTTATTTACAATCCACACATGTCCACATACATGTTGTATTTGGGCTGAACTGCATGTTTCAGATAACTTGAGTTCTTTCTAAGAGCTTGTAGAATTATATAGGGTAGGGCTTTATTTTTTTTAGCTCAGCAACACTAGGCACATAATTTAAAATGAAGTGATTTATGTCTTCTTGAAAATACTGTATTTGAACACTCTGTACGTAATTACGTGTGGAAGGACTGCATTTTGTGATTTTTTTTGCATTGTATTAAGATACAGTATACTACTTGAAAGCTTTTTATAAGCATTCTGTGAAACATTAAGTAATTCTTGGTCAAATAACCCTAAGTGGTTTTACAGTATTGCAATTTTGTATCTAATTTGCCCCTTCCACAAATTATGTTTAGTTTCAAACATAAGATAAAGTAGATAGAATGGGATAATGAATTTCCACGTGCTTTCACCATTTACATTAAAAATAAAGAGAAACACAATCATCACAGCTTTGTCTCACCTGAAACTATCTTGGTATTTTTAAGAAAATCAGATATTTAATATCCAGTAACTACTCAAACTTCTAAATATTTCATAGCTAGTTAGCTGTACTTAAAAATATTTTTCTTTTTTAAAAAGGTAAACAAAAAGTCTGTACATTTTGATTGATGAATATGCTGTCCATTATAACAATATTCGATGGTATATAAGGAAAAATATATATTTATTTACTAAAGAGAGAGAGACAGAGGGTCGCACAGACCAGGAGTTAGAAGCCTGGCTGGCTTCCAGGAGAAAAAGGGAAGTCCCTTTTCCTTTCACTTCCTTTTATCTACCTTGACCCCGCCCTGTTGGGCGGATAGCTTTGTGGGGTTCACTCCTACAGTCCATATACTCACCCTCTGTTTGTACATAAGCCCCCCAAATTTACTTGGTTAAAAAAAAACTTGGTTGTTTGCCTTTTGACTTAATCATTGTACAGATTTTGTGGATTGCGTATCTATGCTCCCTTTAAAACATGTCCAAGATTGTCTCAGTTCTTTTGATCTTTCTATAACAAAATACCCAAGACTGACTCCAGGGAAAAGAGACTCTTGTTAAGTCCAAGGGCCAGGTGACAGCTTTGACTTCCAGTGAAGCGCTTCTGGAGGAGAGCATTATATGGGGGGGGGCATATGTGTACAAGAGAGTGGAATCAAGAGGATTGCAGAAGAAGGTGTCCTGATTTTATAGCAACCCACTGTCATGACAATTAATCCAGTCTCACAAAGAGATAGAGAGCAAGCCTATGAGACCTAAGTTACTCTTGAGGGAAAACCCTTAATCTCTCTTAAAGACATAACCAACACCTTTTGACATTCCACCAATTCCACACCATTACAGTGGGGACCAAACTTGAAGCTCAAGAGTCTTTGTGGAATAAGAAACTATTGGGTTTTTTATTTGATTCTCAAAAGCAATTTTATTCTCAAAATGCTTTTGTTTTAAAATTATAGAGCAATCTTGTGTTACTATGTTTTATATCAATATGCAAAAAATGTTTAGTTTAACTTTGCCTTTATGACAGTATTAGCTATTCCTCTCATTAAAATTTTACAATGGAAATTATGATATGGTTGCATCTTCAGTGATAAATGTTGTTTAAAGATGGCCTGAGTGAAAATATTTGGGAATGAAACATTTAATTAAAAAAAACTTGAGACAAATTAGAATTTTAGAACTATTGTGTGTGTGTGTGTGTGTGTGTGTGTGTGTGTGTGAGAGAGAGAGAGAGAGAGAGAGAGAGAGACAGAGAGAGACAGAGAGAGACAGAGAGAGAGACTGGAGATAGAATGTAGAGCCTTGCATGTTGTATGTAAGTACTCTATTACAGAGTTAATAATCACCTCAAGAAAAGTATGTTCCGTTCCCTTCTCTCAGCACTGCATTCTTTAAAATTATTTTATTTTATGTTTATGGATGTTTTCCTGCATGTGTCCCTGGAAGATGGAAGAGGGTGTCGAGTAAACTTGAATTGGAGTTATGGATGGTTTTGAGGCAACATGTGGGTGCTGGGAATTGAACTCTCGTCTTTTACAAGAACAACAATGGCTCTAAAACGGCTGAGCTATCTCTCTAGTCCCTAATATTGCATTCTTCCCTTGTAACTTATCAGAGTAACTATTTCATAGCATATCCGACTTCCAGAAAAATAGAAATTTCCCATTTTTTGTGACTTGATTGATCATTTTCTCATTTCAATATATTCAACTTTAGACTGCAGAGATGAATGAACGCATGCAGAAAATGGGAGAACCGTCTCTAAGAACTTTTAGAATGGACCTTGAACAAAGTTTGTACAAGTTTGAAGGAGAAGATTATAGAGAAAAACAGAAGGTAACCTTATACTTGCAGCCATTAAATGGGGAAACTTTTGATTTTCCTTGTAGTATCTGTAAAATGACACAGGCATTTATGTAGTAGAAGGACAATCTTTAACATGATGATGATCATTGTATTTACTGTCGTCACTGCAGGTACATACTCTTTTCCCAAATACTGGATCAGAAGTGTTTCTTGTTTTGGAGGGCTTTTTAAAATTGATTTTGGAATATTTATAGAGGTATTACTGATCTGTCAATTTGAAATCAGAAATATTACAAAACTTTTCTTAAAATTTGGATTTTTGGAGCATTTTGACTTCAGATTATTTTTGGATTGTTATCCTCAAGCTGTACTACTGCTTTGTTAGGGAAAGTAAATACGGGGATGTGGTTGAGTCCTGAAGCTCAAGTTGAAATCTCATCACTAGGGAAATGACTGGGTACTCAGAGATGTACCCAAAGGAGGATGTAATAAGTATACAGAGTGATTCTCATAAGGAAATGGCTTATTATTTTAAAGTAACTCTAATGCTACCTGGCAGGAAGTGTTAGCTGCTTTTCCTGTTGCTGTTATGAAATTCACCTACAAAAGCAAGTTAAGTGGGGCTAGAGAGATGGCTCAGTGGTTAAGAGCATGTACTGTTTTTCCAGAGGACCTGGGGTTTGATTCAGCATCTGTGTCAGGTGGCTGACAATCTCTTATAACTCCACCTCCACGGGATCTGTCATCTGTGTACCTGCCTATGTGTATCTGAATACACACTCACACACACACACACACACACACACATCTAATTTAAATAATAAAATGTCTACAGAAAAACTTAAAAAGGGGTGGTTGTTTATTTTGGCTTACAGTGCAAGGTAAATAAATACATCATGGCAGGTGGAACACGGTAGTAAGAGTTTGGAGCAGTTGATCATATTGCGTTCATAGTCAGGAAGAAGACAATAATAAATGCTTTTGTCAGCTAGCCTTTTTCTATAAAAAGCATTTTTTTAAAAAAAGAATTGTGTGTGTATGTATGTAGGTCAGAGGATAACTTATGGGAGTTGGTTCTCTCTTTCTTCTAAGTGGGTCCCTGGCATTGGACTCAGATTGTCAGGTTTGGAGGCATGTGATTTTATTGGCTGAACCTTCTCACTGCCCCCCCCCTCCTTTTTATGTTGTCCATGATCCCATCCCATGGAATGGTGTCACCCACAACTGGCCTTCTCATCGACATACTACACTCCCAAAGTTGATCTTCTCACTAACATGGGTACATTACTTTAAGAACAACAATATTAAAACACAATTCTTTCTTGTCTGAAAGATATGCTTTTATATAGTTTCCTTTTCTTCAGGAGGGCCCCATGTCTCAATCTCTGTGAAAGGCAGAACTTGATAAGGCATATTTTCCCATCCCACCATACCATACTTCTTACACTAATATAAGCTCCTGTGTATGGTAAAGATGGATCTATCCATCCCATATTTTGCATTGAATTTTTTCCTCTTGGAGCATACCAGATCCTACCAATGATTCTATATGCTTGGCGTCCAGGGAGCTTACTCTCAACAGGTGGCACTGTGTGTATTCCTGAGGCCTTTTCGCTATTCTGTGTATACAAGCCTTACTCTCCTTTCCAGAACTGTGAGACATGATTGATGTTCCAAGTGTTGTTCTCTCATATGTACCTAACTGTTTCTATTGAGACAGAATAGTTCCCAGGATTAGGAGTTGTACTTAGTAATTCCACATAAGAGATCTGAGAAACATTAACCCCCTGCTGAATCTTAGGGAAAACATTTGAGAAAGAATAGAATTTCCAGGGAAAATTACAGCTGTCGGATATGTGACTGACAAAACTAAAGACTTCCCCAAAGAACCAGCAATATAATGAGAGAGAAAAGAGCCTGCAAGCTGCATGAATTTTGCAACTTCCTGTGCTGTTCCATAGTCTACTGGTCCTTGAGAAGTAAAAATCCATTTCCATGGGTACCTTGCCCTGGGGAAACCCATTGGACAGGTAGTCATATACTGAACTGAGACTAGGCTGCAGGGCTCTTGACTACATTTTTATCTGTGGTCATGAGGATAAATATTCAGAGTGCCATTAGGACTTATGCTGGTTTAGAAAAGTGGTGTTTGTAGGATGTCTGCAAAGATCAATGGCTTTACTAGCCCTGGTAGTTGGTTAAGCTTCTAGTACCAGGCATGATAGCCCTCATTTTGAGTGTGTCTTAAGTTCAATTAAAGAGCTCTTGGTTACTGCCAAGTTGTGCATAGCACTACTGCCCCCTTAGGGTTATTGTGATGGCTAGGAATGTTGGTTGCTTCCCTGCTTTATAAGTTTACATGGCACCTTTTGCTACCATGAAAGCTAGTCCTCAGGGAGGAGACATTCAGGTCAGTTCCAACTCAGGAATCTTCAGGCCTTGTGCCTGAAGTTCATGGTATCTTCAGTAATAAGAACTTACCTTTCACTTCTGGGGGGCAACCAAGGTTAATAGCAATATTCTGTAATGTTTGGGAGTCTCTTGGGTCCTCTGACCAACAACTCAAAAGATCGATTCTCATGTCTGATGTTGGGGATTTTATTAGATAACCTATGCCTCTTTGGTGGACCATTGCCAGCTGAGATGGGAAGATTTCATTTAAACAATATATGTATATTTATACACAGATGTGACACATATTATAGGTATTTTAAGGTGATAGTTAATGTATGATTCTTTATGATCTTTTTCAGACATCCTTACTGTTATTTTGTTCTCCTCCCTCCTTCTGTATTTATCTCCCTCCTCCTCCCTAATTGATCCCTCCATTTTTCCCACGTCTCCCTTCAGATCATCTGTACCCTGCTATTCCCTTCTCTACTTCTAACAGATGCAGAGTGTTTTCTCCTTATTTTAATCTGAAACGTCTCGATGTCATATTGAATGTATTTTCAATATACTTAGCTACCATCTCTTTGTCTTCTTTGATTTAAGGCTTCTGTCCATTTTATTTGTTTTCAGCTGAATTGTTTGGTTTGTTTTTGTGTTGGCAATATTTGAATACTTACTTTAGTTTTTTTTTTTTTTTGGTTTTTCGAGACAGGGTTTCTCTGTGGCTTTGGAGGCTGTCCTGGAACTAGCTCTTGTAGACCAGGCTGGCCTCGAACTCACAGAAATCCGCCTGCCTCTGCCTCCCAAATGCTGGGATTAAAGGCGTGCGCCACCAACGCCCGGCTACTTACTTTAGTTTTGATAATGGTCCTTTAATCAATTTTGTCTTTTGCTAATTTTTTCTCCCCATTTGTAGTTTATTTTTCATTCTCTTACCCATGTTACATTTTTTTTTGCTGGGTATGCTCTCAGTCTCTCCTGGTCTATGTGACTTCTCCAGTAGTTGTTTTTCATTCCTGACCTGGACACTTTGGAAAAGCGTTTATCCGTTTTTTGTAACTTTTCTCTCACTTTGTGTTTTTGGACAGTTTTCCATGATTTTACTGAGATTATGAATTTTAGTGAGAATATCCCACAAGGGATGTTGCTTCCTGTACATATTATCAGCAAATAAAAGATCTTTTTTTTTGTTTAACCTTCTGACTTCAAAAATTTAGCAGAATTTCTTACATATCTTTTTTTTCCTTTTTAATTTAAATTAAAAACAAGCTTGTTTCACATGTCAATTCCAGTTCCCTCTCCCTCGACCCCAACCAGTCCCTTATCCGATCCCTTTTTGCTCCCCAGGGAGGGTGAGGCCTTCCATGGGTGATTTTCAAAGTCTGTTGTATCATTTATAGCAGGGCCTAGGCCTTACCCCATGTGTCTAGGCTGAGAGAGTATCATTCTATGTGGAGTGGACTCCCAAAGTTCATTCATATGCTAGAGATAAATATTGATCTACTGCCAGAGGCCCCATAGACTGCCCAGGACTCCTAAATGACACACATGATCGGAGGGCCTGGGTCGGTCCTATGCTGGTTTCCCAGCTATCAGTCTGGGGTACATGAGCTCCCCCTTGTTTAGGTCAGCTGTTTCTGTGAGTTTTTCCAGCCTGGTCTTGACCACTTTGCTCATCACTCCTCCCTCTCTGCAACTGGATTGCAGGAGTTAAGCTCAGTGTTCAGCTATGGGTGTCTGCCTCTGCTTCCATCAGCCACTGGATGAAGGCTCTAGGATGGCAATCAAGGTAGTCATCAATCTCATTATCAGGGGAGGGCATTTAATGTAGCCTCTCCACTATTGCTTAGATTGTTAGTTGGGGTCATCCTTGTGGATCTGTGGATGTTTCCCTAGTGCCAGATTTCTCTTTAAACCTATAATGGCTCCCTCTGTTATGGTATCTTTTTTCTTGCTTTCCTCTATTCTTCCCCTGATTCAATCTTCAAGAATAAATGATCTTAACCAATCTTTTTATGGGTGATATTAACCTTTTCACTTAGTGGATGGGGATGGCATCTGTTGAGATTCTCTCCTGTGAATTTAGTATTTTTACATTTGTAATTGATAACTATCTTGGAGGATGTTTTCAAACTTGTGCATGATGATCTTAGCATCTGTTGGAGGAGTTATTGTTATGATGTTTGCCTGAGGGCATTTCCTCATTCCATCTATAATTCCTACTTGGGAATTTCTATAAGAAGTAGCTACCCTTTCTCTGTCAGTTATTTCTGTCCTCATTTATTTATATCACCATAAATATAAATAAATCGTTCTGTTTATTTTTGACTTACAATATAGTTTTATTATTATTGCTCAAATTGTTCCATAAAACACATTTTTGAACTGACTGAGATGATGTTTCATTAAAGTGAAACTCTTTTTAAGTCTTGGTTTTACTGAAAAACAAGAGCTGAAACATTTTAAAGTACATTGTACCCCCTGACAATGCTCTCTTGCTGTCATTTGCCCCTGATAGGTTTTGTTCCTTGACTTATACTTGTCTGTTTTATTTGAAGTCTTAACTCAGACGCTTTGTGTCTTATCCTGCTTAGATGGGGGATGGCCTTTCTGCACAGGGTAGAAATTGCCTGTCTAATATGTTTTTAAGATATAATTACATGATATGAATTTATTTACTCTTCAATTATTCCTATGGGTTATTGGTACTGTTTTATAAAGTGGAAAAATATTAATAGAACCTGAATATCATTGGAACTTCTTTTTTTCCAGTGCTGGTCGCTCTCATGCTCAGCACATCCTATAGTAGTGAACTACATACATAGCCCCATTCACACTAAGAGTAAGATTAGTGTTTGTAAAATACTGGTGTATGTGTAATAAATAGGCTTTCCCATGCTTCAGTTTCTAGCAAACATGATAATTTACAGATAAGATATAGTTTAATGATTATGATTATCCCTGTAATTGAATGCCTACTATTAACAGTAATATCCAAAATTATATTTTTTGATTATTCTCAATTGAGATTATATTTTGTTTTTGTGCATTCATGTTTTCTATGTAGGGTCATAAATTAGGCTCATTGTTTCTGAAGAGAGTTGAAAATCTGAAGGTATATTGTTCATAAATCTTAGAAAATATATGTTAAGGTAGATTTTTCACTTATGACTTGTTGAATCAGTTACATTATTTTACTAGCATGCTGGTAAATTTAATCATGGGAGCTGACATTAATCCTTGATAAATTGAGTAAGTTAGTATTAATATGCTAAGGCAAGCCAATTCAGTATAATTAATTCTGTTTTTGAAAGTTCAAGAATTGGACTTTAACACTTATTTCAGATTTCAACATCGAGACTTTCCTACATACAGATTGAGTGGCCAAATGCATTGCTTTTAAAAAGTTAGTTTCAAGTATACATTTTTACTTCAATTTAGAAAGATTAAATTACATGTGATGTATAAAATATTTTCGCAAGTGTATATGTTCATATTAATGCGGGTGCACATGTATGTTCACATGTGTATGGAGGACAGAGGTTGATATTTGATGTCTTCCTTGATAGCTATTTGCCTTATATATTGAGGCAGGGTTTCTCATTTGTTCCCAGAGTTCCCTGACTGAACTAACCTAGCTAGCCAGCTTCCTCTGGGTAGTCCTCTGTTGTCATCTTGTGAACTATTTATGAAATCTTTTCCTCTATCACTGTCACCTCACACACTAAGTGGTATAAGAATCACAATTTGCCTCCCTCTTTACTTTATTCCTTCCCTCTCTCTCTCCCACTTTTCTTTCATTTCTTTGTTTGGTATTGAACCCTGGGCTTCTTACATGGTAGGCAAGTTCTCTACCACTGACATGTTATTTCTAGCCCTGGATGTGGATATTTATTTTATATAAGCACCACCTTTTAACTTCTTATAACCTCTTAGAGTTAGAAGACATTAAAAGTCATTTACTCTAACCTTTCTTGTAATTAAGAAATCTCACTTTATAGGGTGAGCAAGATGACTCAATGAAAGGTGCTTGCCACCAAGCCTGACAACTTGAGTTCAATCCTTGGAATCCGTATGGTGGAGAGAACCGACTCCTAAAAGTTGTTCTCTGATCTTCGCAGGTGCGACATGGCATGAACATGCATGCACACATACACACATGTGCACACACAAATAAATGTGATTTTTAAAAGAAATCTCATTTACAGCATCTACAACAATGATAGCTTACATTTGAATTCTGAAGTGCTGGGAATTCTACCTCTCTTAGGGTAGTTCCTTTCACTGCTTGCCATCTTGCCTGTGTGTATTCTAGGCAAACAGTCTACCAATGAGCTACACCCCCAGCCCTGTTAAATTATATTGCAAAATGGTATTGTTTCTTATAATTTTGCACATTGGTTTGAATCTTATGAATCAACAGAAAACTATTCTTTGCTATTGCATAGACTTTGACTTATGAGCCTGAACTTTGGGATTTATTTCTCTAGACACTGTGACATTATAGATCTCTAATCACCCTCATGATCTTAGTTTATTATCCTTGTTTTTCTTAAGTGGTTTTGGGGATTGAGTCAAGGGCCTTGTGCATGCTAAGCATTTGTTCTACCAGTGGGTTACACATGCAGCCTTGCAATCCATTCTTTGTGTATGATGAAATATTGAAATCAGCCTTAACGTAGGAGATCAGGACCATTAACAATAGTTTGATGGTCTTTTAAAGGCCTCCATGGTTCATTTAAAGTCACCAGTGAACTGGAAAAACACCACGAAATAGAGAAAAACAGGAATAAAAAAATTTTCCTTGGACTCCAGAATTTTTGTGTTGTTAGCATTGTTTGTTGATTATTAAAATACATTTCCTAGTTGATAATGGGGTAAGTTTTGTAATACTAATTTCCATATATATACAATACCTTAATATTTAACTGTTGGCTAGTTAGCTAAAGTTTTCAATCGCTGTGTTTGATGTGGCTCCAGCCCAGGGCCTTGCCTAAGATAATCATACAAGGTCCAACTGAGCTAGATTCCCAGATCCTTTGTGGTCATATGTAATCTTCAAGGTAAGTGTCAATTGTTCTCATTTCACAGAAAGCAGAAATAATACTCAAAGCTGTGTGACCTGTGAAATGGTAGGATTTGGATTCAAATCTGAATCTTTCTGGTTCCAGTGACCTTTCCCCACTCCTCTATAGCTTACCTTACTAGAAAGTTCCCTTTGGACATTTTTCTCTTTTGCTTTGAAAGAGATGTGCCTGTCACGCTGCTCCTTGTCATTTACTCCTCTGTTTAAATGTCCCAGAAGCAATACTTCTCTTTCTTTTATGAGAATTCCTCCATATTTACTTAAATTAGCATCAGATACTAAACAGGTCGTGTGAATTATTCATAAGGAGGAGGTAATTTTAAAACTGTTTTCAAAAATGCGAAAAAAACCCTTTGCTTCTAAACTTGATTTATAGCAATGTTATAGAATTTGCAGGTAGGAGTAGGATTTATGGAGCGAGTTGTAATTGCTTCTTGTTACTGCCTTATTACCTGTGGTACTGAGAAAATAGTTTGGAGTAATTAAACCTCTTGCTCTTGCTTGTGTGTAGCTTGGTGTGGTGGAATGGATTGAACCTCCTAAACGAGAGCGCAAAGCCAACTATGCAGTGGATGCCTACTTTAGAGAGGCTTTGCGTGTCAGCGAGCCAAAGATCCCAAAGGTAAACGTGCCCAGGGCCAGTTTTTACATGCTGTTGTAGAATTTTCTTTTAACATGGTTTGTGATTCAGATTTTCTTATAGTATTGCCAAATCATAGTTCCTCAAATATAACAATACAGTAAACACTTGCTATAGGCCAGCCACATGAATGGATTCAGTTGTATTTATTTTGTCATATGTACAAATCAGTAGAGTTATAGTAGCTTTGTTTTTTATGAAAACAAATATGTAGGTATGTATGTAACATGTTTTTTCCTCATAGGCTCCTCGGCCTCCAAAACAGCCAAATGTTCAGGATTTTCAGTTTTTTCCACCACGTTTATTTGAGCTCCTGGAAAAAGAAATTCTTTATTATCGGAAGACTATAGGTTATAAGGTAATTTTTCAAATTAGTGTGATATAATCTTTTAAAAATTGTTTTTTTCTTTATATGGGTGTTTTCCTTGTATGTGTGTCTGTATTCCATATGAGTGCCTGGTATCCACAGAGGCCAGAAAAGGGTGTTAGATTCCCTAGAACTATGGATACAGGTGATTGTGAGCCACCATGCTAGTGTTAGGGATTGAACCTGGGTCCTCTGGAATAGCATCAAGTTCTCTCAACTACTGAATCACCTCTTCTAGTCTCAATAATATTTATATGCTGTTGCAGAATTCTCTTATGACATTGTTTGTTATTCCAATATTCTTATATTATTGACAAATCATAGTTCCTAAAATATAGCAGTACAGCAAGCACTAGTTAAAATAGACTATGTACTGTATTTAGTATTAAAGAATGTAAGATCATATAACAATGTTTTAAACTAGTAGTAATGATTAAACTACTGAGTCACATGATTAAACTACTGAGTCATTCAAACGTGTCATCAATGAAAACAGTTGGTCTCCAATATTTCAAAACAGTAACATCTGTAATAATGTTATTTCAATAATACAATATATAGTGTTTAGATTGTCAAAGGATGTGTAGAGAAAACAAATATGTGGTTGGAAATGAATTTTGATATATGATATGATTTTTTTTGGTTTTACGAGACAGGGTTTCTCTGTATTGTTTTGGAGACTGTCAGTCCAACCTGGCCTCGAACTCACAGAGATCCGCCTGCCTCTGCCTCCCGTGTGCTGGGATTAAATGCGTGCGCCACCACCGCCCGGCTATGATATGATTTTTAAATAATTTTTGTTAGTAGAACTAAGAAACAGTATTTTTTGTTTATTGCTAATAGGTTAATAAAAGCCTTATTGGTAATTAATGGTCACTTAGATGTTAAAGATAACAATACACATGGTAATTAGTCACATCATTTTAAAATTAAATGATATCTGGAATTCAAAAATTTTTTTTCATATACAGATATAAATTTTAGTAATTAAAATTTAATGGCTGTAATACTACATCTATATTATTAAGAGATTAAAAATACAGAGTTATTTCTGTATGTGGAAATTGACTTCCTAGTCAATGGAGATGGATGGCTAAATGTATAAGAATCACTAACATAAAGACAATTGGAAAAGGAGCAGCAGAATTTTAATCTTAAGAAATTTCTGTTTGTGAGTTGGAAGTTATGTTATATCTTTATTAGAGTTGGAACTTTGATCAATTACTTTTATCATTAGCTAGGATGTATCTAGAGAAACTACATATTTATGATAATTGAGTTGTATTTCAGAATGTACATGGGTTAGTTATAATATTGTTAGAAAAATGTGGTTAGATTTGGACATAGCTATCAAGACCAGAAAGATTCATTTTTAAGACAGTGTAGCAGAGTAAGGTGACCATGTTAGACTGCTCAGATTGTGCATAAGATTGCTTTCAAAGAAAGTGAACACAATATAGAAACAAAATGCAAAATGCAAGTTGTTAGATAGTTATTAAATAGTTAATTTCCTGGGGTAAACAAACATATAGTAATTCATTGAGGTTTATAGTCATTCTTGGTCATAGAACACTATTTTCAGCTTCTTTTATTGACTGTTAGCAGTAAGACTTGAACGGAGAATTAATTGAAATACTAGATCTTGAGTACTAAACGAAATAGTAGTGTAGAACATTTTATAATTTATACAATGCTTTAACATCTATTTCATTTGATCCTAACAACCTCATTATATACGTTTGATTGTCTTCTTGTAATTGGTAAGGGAACTGGAGTTCAGCAAGGTTCAGTTACTTTGTGCAAGGTCACATAGATAATGAGGTTGCCCTGCTGTCTCAAACCCATTTATTAGACTTTAAATACTGTGCTCTTTCTATCCAGACATTCTCAGCTATTTCTGCATGTGATATAATCCCGTTTGTTTCTGCAGTCCTAAATAAGGACTGTGTTTATTAGTGGTGTGAAATGTAGTTTGGGGGTAAGCCAATTGGTAGTCAAGTAGGAGCAATAAAAATCATCTCATCTGACGGAGCTGTTTATTTTCCTTCTTTGGAGATAGTGTGATTTTGTTCCCTGTGAGAATTCCACTGGCCACTACATTTGGGCCACAGATTCAGTTGGAATGTAAACAGTGCCTTTCATTACAGGCAGCTTGTGGTTAGGAGTGAGGTCTCAGAATGTTTGCTTGGGTGGTGGCCAGCTGGAAGAACATGGAGGAGGGAAGAAACCTTATAAGACACCTTATAAGAAACCTTATAAGCAGTAATCAATGGACAAATGTAAGGGGTGAGAGAAAGGAAGAGGGAGGAGGTATAAGAAGAGAGGAAAAGCATGACTAGGAAGACGAAAGATGCTACAGAGTTCACATTCTTGCATTTTGCTATTGAATTTCCCTCCCCTCCCAGAAAGTGTTAGAGAAAGAGGCAGAGGGAAAGGGGGACTGACTCCATTTAATAACTGTTCACTGAGCACTGCTTTGTGTTAGGTGCTGGGATAGGCACTTGGGAGAAAACAATAAACAAACTTGGGTGCTGGATGGCTTCCATGATGGGCTACAGACATGCTCCTGGGAAAGGCCTGTTCTTGTTAACGTCCCTTTGCTTCACTATCCCTACTGAATGCAGTTGACATCTGCCCATTTGAAGCGGCACATTTGCAAACTGAGGGAGAAGGTCCTGACTCTTTCAACTCAGAATGATATTTAGAAGCTTACATTGTGTCACAAAGTACCTGTTGTGATGGATAATAAAATCATGGAAATCACAAGGAGAAAGGACGTACTCCTTCCTGAAGATTGTTACTGTTTAACTAAGGAAATAGTTGCTGTTTGTAGGCATCTTGAGGGGAACTGAAAGGATAAGAATACTAAATTCCATCTGATTTGGATAGACCAATTCACTCATTAACATGATACTATTAAGACCACCACTTTCCATTGGAAATATGACTAATTTACTGCCTCTACCCTAGAGACAAAAGGTGTGTACTCAAGTGGTAAAATCATTGTAATAGTAGTAGTAGTAGTAATGATAATGATAATAATGATAATAACAACAACTAATGATAATGAGAGTAAAGAAAATGACAAGATTGAGAAATTAGATTATAGTGCCAGAGACATCCATTAAACAGATCCCACAGAAGTATGATTGGTATACAAGGTAGGCTGGAAGATGAAGGCAGTGCTCCCTAAGGAAGTATCATTTAAGCAGAGATTCAAAAGATGATGGGACTGAGCCTTTGTGTTTTGATTGAACCATCACAAGCAGCTCCTTCAGGTGGGAGAGGAGGCACTTTTCCAGAGGTGGAATGTGCTCAGGTGGAGATGTGTATTGGTCACAAAGAGGCTGAAATTCAGCTTTGGAGGAAAGCAGGGATGTTGCTGGGAAGAAAAATGATACTGATCTAAACTTTCCTTGTGTTTTGTGATGTTCCAAGTTGTATATAAAATATTAGCTCGGCATCCTCATTGTAGGAACTACATCTTTATTTTACAAATGGAGAACTGAGGTATAGTTTACTTTTCTCAGAGTTGTAGGACTTGTAAGAGGAATGATCAGATTTTACATTTTTTCAGAATTATTTGAGTGTGTGTGTGTGTGTTCCTGTGTATGCTTGTGTGCACAGGAAGAAGTCAGAGTGTGGATTGCTGGAGTTGGGTCTCTCCTTTTATCATGTGAGATCCAAGAACTGAACTTAGATTGTCAGGTTTCTGTGGCAAGCACCTTTTATATGCTAATCCATCTTGTTGACCCTTGATTTATATTTTCAAACTATTACCCTGAATGTGAAACTGTGAATGGTGCATTTATTAGAAAACCCTCCCAGAAAACTGTTGAAATATGAAAATGAGGGATGGTGGTGACAACATCGACTACAGATGTGGCAGACTTGGTGCTGGTGATGGTCATTTCCCTGCAGCTCTGTTCCTAGCTTTGCGATCTCTTCATCTGCACCTTGGATTGCAACTGCACTATCCAAAGACTCGCTGTGATTCTCATTAGGAATCCCTGGCTGAGGATTTAGCAGACAAATACCACATTCTGGATGCTGACTCTTTCTGAACTTTGTTCCTTCCATTCTTTCCCAAGAACTATGGGTCTGAGCTAAAGTAGATTATCTAATTGGAAGGGTCTCATGTTTGAGTTCAGAGTACAGACAGACCAGCATGGCATGTTAATCATCTGCAGACCTCCAAGGATAACTTTATACATATCTGTAAGGCATATCTTCTCAAGAAATACCTAGGATTTTGGGCTGAACAGATGGTTCAGCTGGTAAAGGCATTTGCTTCCAAGCCTAACGACCTGAGTTTAATCTCTGTAACTCACATAGTGGAAGGAAAGAATTGACTTTCTCAAGTTGTCCCTACACCCATACACATGGCATGGGAGGGCATGTACTCTTGCTGCCATGAACACACACAAAATAAATGTACATGAAGTTTAAAAATAATTATTTAGCACTGATTTCTATCCTATGCATCTAGAAAGCCCATCGAAGCTACAAGATGAGTAAAGCAATGAGTTCATTTTTACATGAGCAAAGCTGATGTAGTGGAGTTAACTGATGTTTTGTACACACAGGCTCTCAAAAATTAGAACTCCTCCCTCTTTTCTGTTTAAATTAATAATCATTCAAGGGTGTCCAATGTTTTGACATTGCAACATGACTTTGCAATCTATAAAGTTTACTCTCAAGAACCATACAATCGAGTTATAAAAAATAACAAAGAAGCTATGTTTTAAGTAAGCCTATGCTTTTGTGTTGGGCTGCATTCATAGCTCCCCTTGGCCAAACACGGTACATGACTCCAGGTTATACTATGGGTTAAGAAGAAATAGGTGTTGTCTATTTCTTGGTATACTATAGCTAATGGAGATGATTTATCTATTTTGAGTCTATTACAAAGTCTTAGCCTACAGTGATTGAAGAGATGGAGTAAGGGGCTCACTAGTTTGTTTATGTTTTTGTTTTGAGGCAGGGTCACATTCTGCAATGCTGACTGTATATAAATCAGAGTAACCTCAAACTCATGGGGATCTGTCTGCCTTTGTCTCCTGCCCAGTTCTAGGATTAAAGGTGGTCACTATGGCACCTGGTATGGGCTTACTAGTTCTGAAACAGTTGGTAACACTTGTTTGTGAGGGTCTGCTTATTATTAGCTATTAGCATTTTTATTTTCTATTTGTCCTGCCTTCCATATTCAGTACACCAAGGCCACAGCAGCAGTGTAGCTGGTAAGATTTGTAGTTAAAATATTTTGTGTTATTTGGGGCTAGGAGAAGTATTTGTTTGCTTTACTGTAATCTCTTTGTGGCTGGCAGTGTCAATTCCTCGTTATCTAAGCTTTGACCTTGCTGTAAGTGAGACAGCTTCAGAGGTTTTATTGCTCTCTAAAATTAAAAGAGTTGATATTTAATGTACTTACTTGTTCGCCAAAGTCTTAGCATTGGAAGAGGGTGACAACTGAAATTTTAACTGCAGAATATAAAAAGTCCAGGTTATGTAAAAATTGAAGTTGATCTAAGAGCACAAGTGAAAGCCGAAGAAAGCTTTAGGACATTCCAATAGCTGTCTCCAAAAATGATTTCTTTAGGGACAAATATAAACATTTGACAAATGGACAAAGTTCCATATACTTTGGGAGCTTTGGTAATGTGCCATTCTAAGCTGCCTGTTGAACTGTGGGGAGCTGATTTCAGGCGACTGTTCTCATTTTTTTTGTGCTGCCACATTTAATTTTGCAATCCATATTTCTATGAAATCTTGCTGAACTCCTAAGCAATAAAAGTTTTTTCATTACCTCATGGAATCTAGACCCTTTTTCATTCATTTATTTATTTTCACAGAGAGAGAGCGAGCGAACGAGCGAGTGAGAGACAGAGAGACAGAGAGAGACAGAGAGAGTGACAGAGAGAGAGAGACAGAGAGGCAGAGAGACAGACAGAGAGACAGATAGGGAGAGAGAGACAGAGAGAGAAACAGAGAGACAGAGAGAGAGACAGAGACAGAGAGAGTGACAGAGAGAGACAGAGACAGAGAGAGAGACAGAGAGAGACAGAGAGAGTGACAGAGAGAGTGACAGAGAGAGAGACAGAGAGAGTGACAGAGAGACAGAGACAGAGACAGAGAGACAGAGAGAGAAACAGAGAGAGACAGAGAGAGTGACAGAGAGAGAGGCAGAGAGACAGACAGAGAGACAGACGGGGAGAGAGAGAGGGGGGGGAGGGAGGGAGAGAGAGAACTACTGTGTGACTGTGTGCCTGTGGAGGTCAGAGGACAGCTTGTGGGAGTCAGTTCTTTTCTTCTCCATCTGAGTTACAGGGAATGAACCAGTTTGAACCCAGGCTTTTTTTTGGCAAATGCCTTTATTTGCTGAGCCATTTGGAACGAGGCTACCACATCACCAACCCCTACATTTCATTTTTAATTTATACTTTTTCTATTTCTTTTGTCACCATACTTTATTTTCAAGTTACAATGGCTCAGAAAATTCTCTGCCTCTGGTAGCTTCTTTACTTTGCTCCACCTGCTGGAAGGATTATAGTGAAAATAGTACATTTTGGTATTTTATTTCCTTGATCCAAAGTCTCCTGTGGAGTTGGGACCCTCTGCATTTGTCTTCCTGGTTTTGTTTTTTGATCCTTTTCTCAATATTAATACTAGAAGTTTTCCCCCAGGGCTTGGGATAGAACCCAAGCTGTTACACATACTTGGTAATTGTCCTCCCTCTCAGCATACCCCATACCTAATATAACTCCCGTGGATCCCAGAGCATCTCCGTCTTCATGCCTTTGCTTATACAGCTCCAGTTTTGAAAAGTCATTACCTCCCATCTCCTCAGAACTTTAGGCTTTTGATCACTGTCCAGTCCTTTCATTTCTTTTCCTTCTCCCCTTTCTTCCTCTTCCTACTCTCCTTTTCTCCCCTCTTCCCTTCCTGCCACTGCCTCCCTTTCTTTTACTCTCCTCTCTGCCTTTCCCTGTCCCTTCCCCCGCCCCCGCCAGTCTGTCTGTTTTACTGGTAATCCATTCTCCTGACTCAGCGTCCCAGCTGGTAAGACAAGAGGCTGTGTGCTATCACAGTCATCCCTTTCTCTTTTTATAGGATCACTTGTCATGTAACCCAGCTCTCCTTGAACTCACAAGGTAAACCAAGTTGGCCTCAAGCTTGCACTCTTCCGACCTTGGCCTCCAAGTACTAAGATCCCAGTTGTGTGTCATCACATCTAGTGAAACTAGGATGCTTAAGATAAAGGCCAAAATCACAGAATTGGTTTGGGAATTTCTTGTGAGCAAGGACTGTGTCCAGCAACCTAGTCCATACTTATTTTAGTACTAACAATATAATAGACACTCAATACATTCTGATTTGGTTAGCTGTTGCTGATGGTTACAAATGATCTGCTTTTTAATATACAACATTTCTTTTAAAATATATATTTGGTAAGTTATTATCTGAAGAACTGTTGGATACAACACTTTAAAAATGCTCACCTTTAAGTTATAATGATACAGTTTTATTTCCCAGAGAAGAGAAAGGGTTCCTGTGTATAACAGTCCTGACTGTCCTGGAACTCTCTTTGTAGACCAGCCTGGCTTCAAACTCACAGAGATCTACCTGCTTCTGTCTCCCAAGTTCTGGTATTAAAGGTGTGTGCCATCACGCCCACCTATGACAAAGTTTTAAATGTTATAAAATATGTATGACAATGAGAAAAGTATCCTCTAATAAATGTTATAATTTTATTGTGCTACGTATATTTGACATTTCTAGGAAGTGAGTCATTTATACTATGTGTGCATTCCAAACAGTGGAATACTTACTGCTCAGCCTTTCATTTCCATGTTTAATAGAATGCTATAAAATGTACTATACATGTTCTGTACCTGCTTTCTTAAATCATTAAGGTGTGTTGTGGCTCCAGATGTTGGTATGATGACAGAAGACTTCAAGACTGGAAAGCAGATTCGTCCTTCCATACAAAGAATGCTGTTCAGTGCTGCTGAGCCACAGTGGATTGTGGCTACTCTGCTATATGCTCCCAGGAGGCTTTAGGCTCTTTAAATGCCAAGCTTAGTGTTTATTCTATATAATGCCTTATTATAAAGATGTATTTTGTTCTACAGCATAATGAGACTTAGAATACAATGTAGCATTCATTTACCAATGGACTGTAATCCTAAAATATTATATCATGCAGTATAAGAGTGGTTTTTATTAGGGTAATACCATCCTGGTAGAAATGTAGAGAGGACCATTTGTCATTTGCTTCTGAGTTTCTACTGTTTATTGTTGAAATGACTCTCCAGGTTGATATGTGTATGTACACTCTTCCTGATTATTATTTTTTCATCAGCTTAGTTATCATTTCTCTCTTGATTTTAGGTCCCAAGGAATCCTGAGATCCCTAATCCAGCTATAGCTCAAAGAGAAGAGCAAAAAAAGATCGATGGAGCCGAACCTCTTACACCACAAGAGACTGAAGAAAAGGATAAACTTCTTACCCAAGTAAACAATTTTAAGTGGCCGAACTACTTCTAGTTAACAGATAGAAAAAATGTATAAGTGGTACCTACTTTTTACTGTGTAGGTTCAGTTGTCCCGATCTGACATACCCATAAACACATATTTTAACCACATATCTTTATGTTTTAGAAAATGCCCTTTGTAGAACATACTCTTTGGGGACATTGGGGCAACATATACATGGAAAATAAAAGTGTCAATTATTAAAATTAAGACATATTTTTGCCAGTTATATAAGGTCAGTGAGTTGAGATTTGAATTTTGATAAATAATAATTTCCAATGTATACCTAAAAATTAGCTTTGTTGATTGACTTGATCCCTGAAACTGTACTGCACCAATTTTTTTATTTATGAAAAATTCCCTTTGAAAGAAGTTAGAGGTCTCAGGAAAGACCTTGAATATAATGATGAGAAATGCCTGAAGCATTTTAATGTGATCATTGTATAATTAAATCTAACATTAAATAGGGAAGGTTCCACCTTAAAGCTGTCAAATCATTGTTGCTTTAATAAATTTTCTGTAACACTTCTGAAATGAGTTTTGGCAAAATAAACAAAATATGAAGTTATGACACTACCTTAGTCAACTAAATTTATTTCTTCAAATTTTTTTGGAGTAATGTGCATGAGACAGTAGTAGTCAATTCTCCAGTGTAATAGTTAACTGATAGTTTGGAATGTTTTCTGCACAAAGAAAGGATTGCTGCTTGAGGTGACGTACATGTCAGTTGTATTATGTGCTTTATAATATCACACTGTGTCCCAGGAATATGTGTTAATTAAAAGTAAAATAAGAGTTTTGTATTTATATATCGATACAGGCCTTTTACTTTTAATAGCCTATAATTTTACTGAATGAATTTTGACAAAATACTTCCATAAGTTTTTGAAGAAATGCCTGGAAGTTACCAAGTTTAGTTTGAAAGTATAATTGCAGTTGACAGAGTTTTAAAAAGTGTCACAGAGTAAAACATTTAAATATTCACGTTTGCTTTTATTTTATCTTCAAAACTTATTTCCTGAACACAATAATAAAAGTTGTACCCTTTGAATACTATACTGCTTATAATACATTCTCAGTATACTGTATAATGTGAATATGTAATCCTAATTGAGATAATTGAGTTTATAATTAGAAGCATAATCAAGTTTTTGTCCCTCAGAGTTGAATTTAAGCCATCTTTTTCTGATGCTACAAATGTAATGCTTAATTTTTTTTAGTGCTTTATGTTTCCCATGATGGCCTTGAATTCACTCTGGAGTTGAGAGGAAGTCCTTGAACTTCGGATCCTCCTGCCTTCATCTCCTGAGCGTTGGAATTACAGGCATATGCTACCATGTCTGATTTATGTGCTGCCAGGAATTGAACTTAGCTCTTTAACTATGCTAGGCAAGGTCTCTGCCAACTGAGCTACATTATCATTGATGAAATAATAATTGTGAAGTGACTTAAAAAACTGGTTGTTACATATTATAATAAAAAAAGATCAGATGACTGAGTAATATTCTGCTTATAGAAATTGTATTTGTGAATATAATCTTTAAAATGACTTTATTATTTTGGGGAGAGGCATGTGCATATTGAGGTATGCATGTAGAAATCATAAGACAACTTTTGAGAATCAGTTCTCTGCTTCCACAGTGGGATACAGGGATGGAACTCAGGTTATCAGGTTTTTGCGGTAAGCACTTTCAACTGCTGTTCCATCTTGCTAGCTCTTATGAATACAATTTTGAGAAGAAACTACTTATTTACTGTAGTTTGGAATGACCTAGAAAGCTACAAAAGTTTCACTACATTCTTTCTGGATTTTCTTTCAGTGTTCTTTCAATTCAGCCCATCCACATCTCTCTCTCTCTCTCTCTCTCTCTCTCTCTCTCTCTTTCTCAATTTACATGAGAACAGATCTGTGGGAAAAGTCATTGAAACATTGACATATCAGAACTTAAGCATTTACATTAGAATTTATACTAGAAGTGTATTTTAATGTTATAGGCATCTGTAAAATACGAAATTAAGACTGTGATGTCTTGGAATTATAAATAAACTTAAAGTACTTGAAAAGTGCATTCCTTTAAGATAGAAAAGCAGTTATTTCTCTAACAACAAAAACTCAGCTTTTGATTCCACATTAAAGAAATGATCTTCATAAAGGGGCACATGTTAAGTGTTTTAACTGCTTTTATTGCAGCATTGTATGGATACAGGTAAGATAATAACAGAATTTATTAATTTAACATCTACTGATGATGTTTAACTTTTTATCCATAGGGTTTCACAAACTGGACTAAGCGAGATTTTAACCAGTTTATTAAAGCGAATGAGAAATATGGGAGAGATGACATTGATAATATAGCTCGAGAGGTAGAGGGCAAATCCCCCGAGGAGGTCATGGAGTATTCAGGTTTGTATGTCATTTGAAACATGATACTTCATTTTTCATGTATGCATTTCTGTGAAAAAAGATTTATTTTTAATTGTGTGTGTGTCCATATGGATGTATGTTATCTTTGTGCATGTGCTTATGATGGACAGAAGAAGGCATTAGATCCCCGGGAGCTAGAGTTACAGGTGGTCGTGAGTTGCCTGATGTGGGTGCTGGGAACCAAACTTGGGTCCTCTGGAAGATCAGCAAGTGCTCTTAATTGCTGAGCCATCTATCCAGTCCCTGTTTCTTTGTCAATAATTTAGTTGTGTCTTTTTGTTCAGAGATGTGAAAACTTTTGTGTGTGAGATGTAAGTAAAGAATAAGATATGACTGTATTTGTACTCGGCTGTCTCTGGGAGCCAGCTAAGGAAGCTGAGTAAAGCTCTGCAGAAACAAAAGTGAAAAACTCTGCATGAGTTTCTTATTCTTTCACTTCTCTGCCTTGGTCTTTTAAAGGTCTAGTCCTGAGGCTTCTGCTTAGTGGTTTGAAATAGTCGTTGTTGGTCATCCTTGAAGTAGAGAGTTCTTATCGGGCCCATTTAGAGACTCAACTGCCCTCAAGGAATTCAATCAGGTAGCAGCGAGCCCTATTAACTTAAGGCAATTTGGAATAGATCTAAAAAGATTTCTTGGCTAAATCTGTTCAGTGGTCCTTGAATCATTTCCCTGTCCTACGCAGCTGTGTCTTTAGCCTCAACCAGAATCAGAGGAGCTGCACAGAAGCATGTGGAGTCTTACTAATTCCTGTGTCAGAGCATATGGAAACTCAGGCTTCTGAAATGCAGTCTCACTAAAATCAGTTAATCTATCTGTTTTCTATGTGTGGTTATTAAATTTAAATTGGCCGAACTTTCAAATTTAGTCTGAATCTCAAGTATTTATAATCAAGAACATTTCCCACAAAGAAGCAATGTTAAAAAGTAGTTGTGTGGTTTCTTTGCCATGTCTCCTAGTTATTTGAGATTACTATTTAAATTCTGTGTTTATTAGGAAAAAAGGTTACAAATCTCATAAACAAGTCCAAGTTTTAATCGTTACTAGGTATAGCTTTTTATTTATCTAGAGTACTGGTCAGTGCTTGAAGAAAATCTGTTGTAATTAGAGAACACCTATTCTGTTTCTTCCTTCTGGAAATCTAAAGGGGGATTTCGAAGTTAATTGTGTCTGAACTCTATTTCATATAACACTGGATTCATGAACTTCTTTTTCTTTGAACACTAGCATAACACTACTACTTGTCTTAGGGTTGAAAACATAGCTCAAGGGTATTTGGGGGACAAGAGATGGGAGAGAGATATTTTCATGGAAGCTGAATGAAACAAATGTAAAGGGCACACACACAGAGGGACATAGTATTGGTGTGGGTCAAGCTGCAGGTTATGGGATTCCTAAAAGATATCAGGTAGCTACGCATTGTTATACTTGTCTGCAATCCCAGCATTCAGTGTCTGAGGCAGGAGAATCATAGGTTTGAGGGCACCCTGGTCTGTATGACATGCTTGAGGCTAGCCTGGTTTGTAGTGAGAGCATGTTTCAAAAATATAAGGACTAAGGTATCATGTCTAGGGCCCTAGGTTCCACTCACTGCACTGAAATAAAGAAGGGAGGAAAGAGGGGAAAAAAGAAAATGGAAGAGAAAAGAAGGAATAATATGTTGAGCTTGGGTTTTAGTTTAATGGTAGAGATAAAGATCTTAGATCTGATTCCCCATACCATGAAAACAAAATGACAAGGAAAAAAAAAGACTTCTTGTCAGATGCTCCCTTAAATTTCTCACTAAACCAAGTACCATAAAATGAAGGGCAAATGAGATTTTTGGAATTTCTATGGAGTAAGCTCAGGGCTTTTAAGTCCAGGTAAATGCTCTACACTGCCTCTACATACACTGTCAGAATTTCTGAAGAAGTTTCCTCAGAATACAGGGAGATGGCAGGACTATTTCATTGTTTTCATCAGACTGGAGGCCGTGTCCTAGGGTAGGGAGATTTGAGTGGGCTTATTCAATTGGTAGAAGATTGTACACAATTGGATGTTTGGGAGCATACTGTGTCTTAACAAAAAGAAGTGTGCGTGCAAGTGTGTATGTATGAGTGTATGTGTGTGTTGAATAAGTGGAGTACTGCCTAAGTGAACATGGGTGCTTATACAAACCATAAGTGCTAGCATATCTTTCTTGCTATGGTCTAAAAATGAAGAATTTGAGAAGGTGTCACTGGAGTCATAAGATGTGACTTACTAATACAGCAGATGATTTGGCTCATCTGTAAAATTTGATTGGTGGCTCAGTGATTTAAATATTCTTTTCTATATGTGTGGTGACATATTGTTTATGATCTAATAAAGCCACTGAAGATCAGAGAAGCAAAGCAACCAAGCCAGCAGATCTTACCTCTGCCCAGTTGAATTGGCAATCCTGTCTCCATGAATCCTCAGAGGCAACAAGTTCTGAGTTCCTGTTTCCTCCTCCTTATATTCCTTTCTCCATCAGCCATATCACTCCCTTCTCTACCTCCTGAGTGCTGGGATAAAAGGCATGTGATCCCAAGTGCTAGGATCAAAGGCATGAGCTCTGTTACTCTTCACTCTTGTTGTAGGTCAGGGTGCCTTGAACTCAGAGATCCACCTGCCTGTCTCCCAAGTCCTGGTATTAAAGGTGTGTGCCAACACTGCCTAATTTCTACAGGTAACTAGTATGACTGGCTTTACAAACTGATCTCCAGTGGCTTTATTAGATCATAAGCAATATATCACCACATATGTGTCCAGTTAAAATCCCACATCTTTAAAGAAACTGTAGGTGACTGGAAGTATAAAATTAATGAATGATTGCAGACATAACCAACAGTTTTTATAGAAAGCGCCACTTCATAGGAAAAAGGTGAATGATCTGGTAAAGGGTTTATTTTGATTTTTGCTTACTAGAAAGCTATATTTATATTTATATGCTTCTTGATTCTGTTTCACTTTATGCATTTGGTTTCTTTTGTATCACATTTGGGTAAAATGATAATATGGTCATTTAACAATTGACCATATTACATACACACAGATGACACCATATCTGCCTGTTAATTCTTTATCGTATAATTCCTTGGATTCATTTGCTTAAATGATAGCAGTTTAAAGTAATAACTTTCTTTTTCAGCTGTGTTTTGGGAACGCTGCAATGAATTACAGGACATCGAGAAAATTATGGCTCAAATTGAACGTGGAGAAGCAAGAATTCAGCGAAGGATCAGTATTAAGAAAGCACTGGATGCCAAAGTACTCTATTGTGTTTCAGTTTATTAGTAGATTATTTTATTTGCTGTAGTGATTAGCTTTGAGTTGCTATTGCACATTAAATTAAAAAGGGCCATTTTGTTGAAACTTACAGATTGCAAGATACAAGGCTCCATTTCATCAGTTGCGTATTCAGTATGGAACCAGTAAAGGAAAGAACTATACTGAGGAAGAAGACAGATTCTTGATCTGTATGTTACACAAAATGGGCTTTGACAGAGAAAATGTGTATGAAGAATTAAGACAGTGTGTACGGAATGCTCCCCAGTTTAGATTTGACTGGTTTATTAAGTCTAGAACTGCCATGGTATGTATTCCTTTTGTTGCTTATTTTGAAAAAGTACACATTTCTAGTCTCCTCCTTCAATTAGTTCTTCTGATTGTTAACACTACTTGTGATGCCAAGTTTAGTCACTTGGTTTCTGCTATGATTTCCAGAGCTTACCCAATCATAGCTTTGCATTTTCCCTTTGTAACTAATCAAGTGAATTTTGAGATTTTCCTGCCAGCCAGCTCCCAAATCATGACACGGAGACTTATCATTAATTAGGAATCCTCCGCTGATAGCTTAGGCTTGTTTTAGCTAGCTGTTATAACTTAAATTAATCCATTTCTATTAATGTACGTGCTGCCCTGGGGCTCATTTACCTCATCTACATACTGTCCATCCTGCTTTCCTGCTTCCTCCCTGTTTCCTTGCACCTCTGCCCTTCTTTCCAGCATTCTCTCTGCCCAGAAATCCTGCCTAGCTCTTGGCCATTTAGCTTTTTAGTAAACCAATCAGAGTGCCACTTATTCACAGTGTAAACAAAGATTATTTCACAATTAGGTGTATGGACAGAACAGTTGTTTGATAAGGTTCTTCAGATCATTGAAGTAGGTTGTTGAAGAACAATGTAGACTTTTTAATTCTCTTTTGGGAATGAGATTTCATTTTGATTGTCATCAGACTTTGGCAGTGAGTTGGTTTGCCATCTTGCTCTCGGTAACTATGGCCACATTTAATAGACAACTCCTTTCAAAGCCATGCATTTAGATTTATAGCCACTTGGGTTTTTATGCATATAAAAACATAATTTGGGGCAGCACCAATAGTTTGTAAAAGAAAAATGCTTAACTGCATTTTTCAGGGAATCATTTTCAAATATATGTGCCCTTTTATGTGATGAAACATTTATTGAATTCTGTGATATTTCAGTGATATTTTACTAATTTTTAAAAGGTTGAGAGCTTGATGTTGGGTCTAGTTTCTGCAGTTATTAAAGTAAGGCAGTAGGATGAAAGAGATTCAAAGTGCAAGAAAAGATTTAAGCTGTTTGCAATATTATGATTGCAGAACTCTACAGCTTTCTCACTCAGTTACCAAGGAAAAAACTCCAGTATATTAACAACCACTAGATGTCTCTGAACTCCCTTGTAACGATTCTTATTTTTCCTCCATCTTATTTATTTTTTCGCAACGTTTACCTCCATGTTCTTTCTTTCTCTAGATATTTAAATCTTCAGAGCATATTTGCCAAAAGGCACATATTACCTATATAAGTAATCACAAATTGCAACCTGCATTTTGTATAGTAAAATTGCAGACACCCATGTCTTTTATTACATTTAGGAAGTAGAATTTCTAATTTTTATTGAATCTTTTGAAAATATAGTCATTTAATTTGTATTTCAATATGTTAATATAAGGTTTTTAAGTAAAGTTTTCTATTATGCTGAAATTTGATTTTCCTTCTAGCTAGTGGATAAATTTTACTTATATTTCTTGAATTAGAGTATGAGTTATGTATTTAAAATATGTATATATTTATACTCTCTTTTTAGATTGCATTCATATCAGTAATTATGGGGCTATAGAAATTTATTATTAATATGTCTAGATCATCTTCCTCCGTTTGTTTCTAAAATAGCTTCCTTTTTAGTGAATCATTTTCATAATCTAGAGAGTAAAACTACCTTCTTGAGAGAAGCAGCTGTGATTTCTGGAATAGAAAACATTGGTTTCGTTGAAAAATCCTATCTTCGAAATAGAGGATGCAATTTGATTCATTTTGTGACTGTAGCTGTGTTTAAATTAAAATCTTTCTAATGATTGAAGTCAGCTTACTAAAAGATTCTTCTTTGCCAGACACACAACAAATAGTGTGAAATCTTTCTTCGAAAAAAATATAAGAACCTTAATGGTTATATTTTATGCACAAGTCTCAAAGTACTGAATTCATGACATCTGACTTAAGTAACACCCACAAAGTGCTTAAAGGCACGAATCTCCGCTGTCAAATATGCCTCACTTTGAAAGGCTTCAGCTACAGGCTCTTCTCCATTTAAAACTGCTGCCTGTACAAAAGAGAAAATAAGATTCAGTTCCATCTCTCTGTGCTAAAAAGACTGTGAATTTTTCTTGGAGAAATTGTGTGATCTTTAAGTAAGTAATCAGCCTCTATTGAACTTCATAAACAAGTAGGAAGCATATGCTGAACCCGGGGTTTTAAGCTCAGAGCAAATGAATTGCCTTTGCTACTTTCATCCTGGGGCTGGGGGTTCTTAGAATAGGGCCTTAGTGCTTGGTCATTCCAGAACTATCCCAAATAAAAGGCTGTTTATGAAATGACTATGAGAGGAAATGATAATGTACTGCATTTATGAGTAGTATCTCTTATATAATGCTGACCTGTCCCGTTGTCAACATTAGCTCATTAATTTTGTTGCCATCTCTGTTCATTTATTAGTGAGTGATGTGACATATTTATTAGTGACTGATGTGACAGAAATTTGAGGAGAATCTGAGAGTTCCAAAGGCAGTAACACAGTAGTCAGTTCATTGGACAATGCACATGGGGAAAGTACCTAGCCCTTAACTAGTAGTGCCTTGATTCTTTTTAGTTTCCTTTTAAATATGTAACAAAGAAAAAGTAAATTTAATTCTCAGAAATAAGCATTCATTGATCAAATGCTTCTCGTTTCCTCTATTGGATGGCTTTGTTTCTTAATTTTAGTGAGAAAATGTTTTCCTTTCAATTGCTGAAGAGCATTGTTTTTCTCTCTAGCCAGCTCAGGAAGCTGTGTGTTGCTTTGCCCGTGGCCAAGAACATTACAGTTGAAGCTGAGTATTAGTAGTTAGTCATTACAATTACCCTGTCTTTTGTAGTAGTTTAAATGAGTTTTGGCGATAGCATCTCAGAGAATCACATACTGTTGAATACTGGGTAATAAAATTTTCATGTTATTAGTTTGTTTTCAAATCACAACTTTATTATTAATGAAATTGTGCCTTATTTAAAAGTAATAAAATGGCATTTCTCATTAGAACTGTAGGAGAAAAAAACTACTTCCTAGAAAATATTGCTATAGCTTTTTATGAACTTGCTTCCCACTTTATATGGTTATCACAATGGCTAGTAAATGATAATTAGGTTACTAGTTCCACACAGAATGTTTTTATAAATATTCAATCTAGTCGGAAAGGATGTTTCTTTTTAGATATTTTAGAGGAATAAGAGGGGAATAGAAAATTTCCTGGTTGTTCTATAACCACAGTGATGCTTTGTTCCTTATAACGTTATAGTTTTAGTACTTAACTGCATGTTGGCAGCTACCATTGATATTTTAGCACATTACATTCTTAATGAAATATAAGAAGGATTAATAATACAGTGGCAACATTGCTAACTGGTAAAATGTTCTGACTGGTTCTTCTTGAGCATGGCATTATATGTGACCTGAAAATGGAAAGAAACCGGGAGTAGGAGGGCAGAAGAAAAGAACACATGGGGGGAAAATGGGTATAGGAAGAAACTGCAAAAACAAATTTTGTTTGAAAAAACGCAATAAAACTTAAAACTTAATTCTTTGTAAGTTAATAAAGTCAAGTACATTTTAGCTCATAGGAACCTGTTTTTTCCCCTGTGCTTGAAAGGCTAAACTGTGCCCTCTATGCCTTAATTGTGAAAACATCCACTGGGCAGGTGGCTCATGCCTTTAAACCCCGTACTTAGAAAGCAGGGGCTGTCAGAGCTCTGTGAGTTCAAGGTCACCCTGGTGTACAGAGCGAGTTCCAGGACAGGCTCTAAAGCTACACAGAGAAACCCTGCATCGAAAAACAAAAAAAGGAAGAAAATGAAAACATTCTATAATAGGGGAGATGGCGGTTAACTGCTATATGGCAAAGGGATCAGAAAATCCCTTTGCACAGAAGGTGCATTTGCGGTTGTGGAAGCAGGATTATACAAAAGGGATAAGTAAGTCCAGTATAGTCCAAAACTAGTGGTGTGCACATGGGGAAGGGGTAGAAGATGTTGTAACTAACAACCAAGTGATGAAGGAAACTGATGCATTGAGGACTAGCTATGGGTCATTCTTGTGGAGGAAGTAGGAGAGTCAAAGACAGATTTTAGCAAGGCAATGGCATGATCAGCTTTATGTATTTAAAATACTTCTCTGCTCATTACGATTGGACTTTGGGAGCCCACTCCACACAGAGGGATACTCTCTTAGCCTAGACACACGGGGGAGGGTCTAGGCCCTGCTCCAAATGATGTGACAGACTTTGAAAATCTCCCATGGAAGGTCTCACCCTCCCTGGGGAGCAGAAAGGGAATGGGATGGGGGCCAGTGGGGGCAGGGAGGAGGGGAGAGAGAGGGAACTGGGATTGACATGTAAAACGAGCTTGTTTCTAATTTAAATAAAAAATACTGCTCTGCTGGAAGTAGGTAGATGTATACCCCACTTACCAGTTATAGTAAAAATAAAAGGTCTTTAATTTCTATCCTGTTTCCCATCTTGTTTTGCTTCTTTTGATTAATGTGCCGCTGTCTGTCCAGGAGTCAGTTTTCCTACCACAGTTTTAACCTGAAGTGAAGTTGGTTATATTCAAGGAGATCAGCATAGGATCTTATCCAGTGTAGGCAATAGGTCAGAAAATCAACACAGAATATTTAGACTTCAGTTTGTTTCAACTCCTACAATTGGACAAGTTTTGGGTGGAAATTGAGGAACTGCACCAATATGCTACAGTTTATTTCTGACCTTTCTCCTGCTAGACTTTTGATTGTAGTTCATGCAGCTTTTATTTATTGGTAAGTTTGTGTATCAAATGTCATGTGTGTTACACATGTAGCTACAGTGTTTCATTTGTAATCCTAAATTCTTTGAATAACTAGAAATACAGTTAGTGCCCTAATAGGGATTCATGTTCGGTATTTATACCAGCCCATCATTATGTGAAAAGGTTACACATTATTTCATGAAATAACAATTTTTAAGTGACAATACTCATGTAAAAGCATATGACATTCAAAATGTGTTTG